CACAAAATATACTTTTGAATTTAAATATATGTTTTTAATTTTCCTCTTTTTATAGCAACTAAGGATAGAGTAATTTTTACTCGATTTGAAAGTACAGCTTACTAATCAGAGTAAAAAAGATATGCATATTAACTAAAAATAGAGTAGTTTGTTTACTCTAAAAGATTCTAAAGAGTCTAAATGTTATAAAAATAGTGTAAAATAATACTCTAATTAACAAAACTATTTTTCCCGGGTCACTACCCAGAGTACCCTTAACACACAATAGTGTTAAATTTATGCACTAGTAAATTAAATGTAACACTAAATACCGTTATAATATTTACCCGAGAAATATAAATTATTACACTATCATCAGTGTGAATAAATAACTCTAAAAAAAGTCGTCGCATATAGAATGTTTTTAGAGTTTACTAGAGTTAAATATCTTCACTACTTTTTTTACTGTGAATGGATGGTTTAAGAATTTGAGAATATAAATACTGCGTTTAATGAAATTCTAAAGTGTATGGTCCAAATAAGTAATATTTTTGTGCATTTGGTCCAAATATCTGGTTTTCTCCATAAAATAATTTTAACTAAACAGCATTTATTAAAAAAAATCTAGCTTCTCTATTATGGAATAAGAATATCTGTTTTAAAGGTAGGTTAATATATTATAACAAAAATATAATCTAATTTTGTAATTTTAAGGTTAGAAAGTATTTTGGATTATTTAAAAGACTGTATAATATGGTATTTAAAAATGTTGTAGTTTTTTTTATCCAGCTTAAAGTGTACCTAATAAAGTTTTGCCAATACAAATAGTTAAAAAGCTTTGACTGAATTTGATCTACATAAAAAAATCATTATAACTTTAAAAATTTTAATAAATCACATGTCATGGGAGTATTAAATATTTTCACATTGCAAGTTTCTCTAAAAATTGTTTTTTTTTCTTATAATCTAACTTAAAGTAGGTATGCCGAGAGGTATGCACAAGTTTTGTCATTAGAAGTATAAAAGCTTCAATTTAATTTGAACCATATTTAACAATTATTTAGTATACCTATATTTATTTATGACCATATTAACACACTCTTCCAAATAATCCACTTATTTATTTTGGTCAAAATAGATTTTTCCAACCTTAAAATACAAAATTAGATGATATTTTTTGTTCTAATACATTTGATACAGATATTCTTATTTCATAATAGAGAAGTTAGATTTTTTTAATAAATCCTATTTAGTTAAAACTATTTTATGGAGAAATGTTGACCCAATGCACAAAAATATCACTTATATTGCACCTTACACTTTGGAATTTCATTAAATGCAGTATTTATATTCCTAAATTCTTAAACCTACCATTGTTATTGTGATAGTAATAAAGATTTATTAACTTTTAACGCTTAAACATAAGCGGTAACACTATAAATATTATTTCTTTCATTGACTATACTTTGACAGATACATAACCTGAAAAGCCTTAAATGCCAAATTTTCAAAAGACTGCGTTCCGTACGTGGTCACGTGGTGGGACTTTGAGGTGTGGAGCATATATATTTTGTAATTCAATTGTCTTAAAATACCTGAAATTAAGTCATTTTATAAATGAGTCCAGTTAGTGCTCTTTTAATAAACAATGCTTGATGATTGTTTAATCTTCGTTAAGCCACCCGAAAGGGTGCAGGAATCGCAGTAATTCTCGTGGGGTTTGTTGGTGGGGATGATCTGTGGAAACGGATGCCCAGCGTCGCGGCGCCACTAAAGTCCAACCCGTCGACGCGGCAATTGTTTTTCCTGCTCTCCTGCGGACGCGAACAAGTAACAAGTTGTTGCACTAAAGTTGGGGTGGAATATTGTGGATTTTTGTGTCGGTGTTTCAAGTACTTTAAATATGTTAAGTATATAGTTGGCAGCCATGTGGAGGCTGCCAGGTTGTACACCTGAAGATTTGTTTGTGGCCAGAAGACTGGCTGTCAGGTCCCATCCTGTACACCATAAGCTGCATTCAGGGAATATGATATACAACGGTAATGATGCATTTTAATGTTTTGTCCACGTTTTATTGCTTGACAAGTTAAGACGTTTTTTTTTGGACAAAGCTACCCCAGTAGCACAAAGATATTGGCCCAATATTCGTTTTATATATTGGGCCAACATATCTTTCGTCAGATTTTTTCTAGCTTGGTCCAATATTGAAATCCAGCATTGGCCCGAAGTTGTTTGACATTATATAACCGATATTGGAAATCCATATTGGCCCGAAGTTGTTTTACATTATATAACCCATATTGAAAATCCGCATTGGCCCAATATTTGTTTAACCTTAATTTTTAAATTTTATAAAAAGCTTTTGCTAAAAGTAGGTAGTGGGACCCACTGCTTACTTTTGGCAGAGTGGGCCACAGGACCAGCTGTGTCCCTTCAAAACTTACAAGCAGAAGCGGTATGGTCAGTAATTTTGCCTTAGTAAGAAATTCTAACTTAACAGCTTAAGGCATTCCACCTTTATAGGAGTATCTATTGTGCTACAGAGGCGAGAGGTATGCATGGGTTGCCTACATATTGGCGGATTTTGAAACATTTGAAACAATATGGGGCCAACATAGCACACACATCGACTATGATATATTGAATAATCATGTTACGCCAATATAGGGCCAACCTTGAATAAATATTTTTAATGATATATTGGCGTAAAATGATATGCCAATATAGGACCAACCTTGGATAAATATTTTTAATGATATATTGGCTTAAACTGATATGCCAATATTGGACCGATCTTGGATAAATATGTTTAATGATATATTGGCGTAAAATGATATGCCAATATAGGACCAACATTGGATAAACATTGGCAAGATATATTAAATAACCATTTTATGCCAATATAGGGCCAACATCGGCTAAATAAATCCAATATTGGTCCCAGATAAAATATTGGGCATATATGCGCCCCATATAGGACCAATATTTTGTGCTACTGGGGTATTTTATTCGCAGTTTTCTATAGGTATACTATATATAGTATAATAATAATAGTATATAAACCTAAACTTTTGGACGACTACCTTTTTTTTATCAATGGTAAAGTTATGGCATTTTTTAACAACTTACATTTGACATTTTAAAATTTATAAACATATTCTAATAATTATAACATAACCACAATTATATTCTCCACTAAAATACCCGGTTGGTTCTATAGAGTAGGTATACAGTTAATTTTTTTTTATCTGAACTCGTGTTAATTATAAATAAAAAGATAATTATGCCAAAAATAATAGCAACGAATTCGAATGTAAAAACCGTTTTGAGGGCAAAACTTCATTTTGATGAAATTATGCCAAATGCCACAATGGAAGAAAAAGTACATCGCCTTATGGACATTTTTGGAGTAAAAAAGTAACGAATTTGGTTTTATAAATATTACATCACACATTATTTTCACATTATTCACCATTGGACAACATTTACGTTCACAAAAAATTTTAATTTCTTTTATATAAAGTCTTTTCAAAGCGAAGATTATTATCCGCTAGGAATACTTTCTCTTCTGGGCCGTAAAGCAACCTATATTTAACTACTTTTTTATATGATTTTACTCATCCAAGCACCACCAAAGCCAAATTAATTGCATTTTTAATTACGAATTTCGACAACTCAACTTGACAACTGCACAATGTAAGGCTTTGTTATCTATGATGTAACCTACAATAATTTTAGGAACTCTAATTTTATAATGGGCTATCCATATTTTTATAAAAAAACCGAACTGTATAAAATAAACTAGGATATATTTTAAGGGATAGGTATCTGACCCAAATTTCTTTCAATGTTTTATTGTTAAACTATTTTTTTGAAATCCACATAACTAAATATTAAAAATTTACTCTCTAAAAATGAATTAGTCAAAAATGACTTATTTAATAGTTATTAGTGGCTGCTTTTTCACTTGTACCATGGTTAACCATGGAATACCATGGTATCACAAAATTTAACAGCCAATTCTTATGTAAAATTGTCCCCTGAATCCGAAAATATCGCCAAAAATTATAAAAGTGGAGCAGTTTTTGAGATATAGTCAATAACATATTAAATGGAAAATTGAATATATCTCAAAAAATGTTCTACTTTTTTAACTTTTGACGACATTTTCGGATTCAGGGGACAATTTTACATATATTTTACATGTATTCTTATAAGAATTGGTTGTTAAATTTTGAGATACCATGGTATCCCATGGTTAACTATGGTACAAGTGAAAAAGCAACCACTGATAACTATTAAATTAGTCATTTTTGACTAATTCATTTTTAGAGAGTACATGATTTTAATAGTAAAAATTTTAATCAATCCATTTTGAAAAGTTTAAATGTTTTAATCAAAGCTATTGTCTCTATAATGTTTTTACCAAAGTTTGGTGAAGCTTTTAGTTTCCAACCCAAACAAAATATTAATCATTTTTGAAAGATATCATATTATGCGTCACAGAGATCCAATTTGGACCCCACATTATATACACACTTGATTAATGATTTGGGTAGGTACATTTTTCTTCTTTTAAGATTTAAAAGTATTTGTTTAAATGACTCATTTTATTTGACTACTTATATTTTTGGAAAATTTTATTTATAGGTACTTAGAATCCCAATATTCTTACCAAAAACATATAGGTACAAGACGTTATAATTAAATTTTGTTCTTTAGTGGTTTCTATAAAAAATTCCTTTCACGTGATTAAATTTTAATCACGTGAAAGGAATTTTTTATAGAAACCACTAAAGAACAAAATTTAGCTGTTGCTTGACATTTTAATTGGCATTTAAGACACACTTAATATGTCTGGAAAATAATGTTGGTCTTTCACATAGAAAGGCAATTCCACAATTGGCCAATAGAATAAACAACCTTGAGACGACCCAGTGACCCAAAAGCTCGGTCTCGTTGCAATCGGCGTTTCCAAGAAATCCACTGGAATCAAAGATGGCATCTGGTGCTTGTTTCAGATCCCTACCAGCTGCTGAACCTGACGACCAGCCGATTGGTCGCGCAAGGCTCCGGCCAGATCCAATTGTGGCAGTTCCTGCTCGAGCTGCTCCACGATTCGTCGAACGCGGCGTGCATCACGTGGGAAGGCACCAACGGCGAGTTCAAGCTGACGGATCCGGACGAGGTGGCGAGGAGATGGGGCGAGCGGAAGTCGAAGCCCAACATGAACTACGACAAGCTCAGCAGGGCGCTCAGGTGAGCAGCGAGATCATTTTCATGCCGAATACCGAGGCAGTCGCTAATTTTATAACACCACTTTCGGTGCTGTAATGAGATACTTTATCCCAATATTTTGCATATTGGTTACAATATTTTTATGATTTTTCTACACTCACGTGAAAAATACTCGATCCACAAAAAATAGACGTACGTTTATAATATACAAAAATATGTTTTTACCATAAGTTTAAGACACTCTGTAGAGTGGCAAAACCGTATATTGTTCTAAATTATTTTATTTATCAAGTCACATCTATTCTTAATAGTATTGTTTTTGGTTCACCTCGATATATTTATTTTTGTGGAAAATATGGATTTTTTAAAAAAACATTGCAATTTCCAATATTTTTCTGAATGAAAAACTAAGGTTGCTATGGTCCATCCATAGGCTATGGAGAATGACAGTGACAGTTTTGTTGAATCATCCCATACTTGGACATGTCATATACAGCTTTCAAAAGCTATCAAATTGTTTTTTGTAAATTAATGTGTTAATTATGAGGTGTCTTCTTACTTTTAAAAATGTCTCCGACTGATGTTGCCCTTTGTACTTTACTTCTTATGACGTTTAAAACACTTGCCACGTAATACTGTGACCGTCCATCCTGGATTAAATTAATAGCTCTGGCAACATCAGTCGGAGACATCCATTTTATAAAGTAAGAAGACACCTCAAAATTTAAACAATAATTTGCAAAAAACAATTTTATAGCTTTTGAAAGCCGTGTATGACATGTCCAAGTATGGGATGATTCAACAAAACTGTCACTGTCATTCTCCATATGTCTCCATGTCATGGACCATAGCAACCTTAGTTCTTCATACAGAAAAATATTGGAAATTACAATGTTTTTTAAAAAAATCCATATTTAAAAAAAAAATATCGAGGTGAACCAAAAACAAAACTGTTAAGAATAGATGTGACTTGATAAATAAAACTTAATTTAAACCTGTATATTATAAACGTACGTCTATTTTTTAGTATTTTTTTAAAATGTGTGCGATTGTCAATTAATTTATCTACAATAATCTTTAATATTCGTTTAAATTCGACATCAAATAAAAAAGTTATTTGCGATTGAAATTCATCGAAAAATTTGTGTGGATGGATTATTTTGCACGAGACTTTTCTGGCAATAAATTTTGTTTAACACCAAAGAAAATCCTTTTTTTCTTCTTTTAACATTAACCCTTCAAACCAATGACTGAGATACCAACTATCTAAAGTAAAATTCGACCAAATTAAATTTAAGGCATCAAATTAATTTTTTATAGAATTTTTGCCAAATAGATAAAATAGCATAAAAAACTCATTTCATAAGACCTTTTGTCGCACTCGTTCTTTAATATACTATTTAACAATACTACCACTACAAAATTTGTGTTCCATGAAATGGGGCTGTTTTGCTTAATGTTGGTAAGAGAAATCATGTGATTATACTCATTCTGCAAAGCTGACTGCTTTTTTGCCATTTTTTTGAATATAAAGTCTTATTCATCAAAGTCGATAATGACCTCAAGAAACCTGCTAATTGTAGACTCTCAAGAACTTTTGGTCAAATCCAGCTCTCGAAATTCAAAAAAGATGTCAATTTAAGATGAAAAATTGCTCAAAAATATTGCTGAAATATTTGAATAAATAAATCCAAATGTCTTCTAAAAGATTTTTTTTTTAATTCATAGCATTAGTGGCGACATTGCATATATCTGGAAAAAATTATTAAATCAAAGAAACACAAAAAAGTTCTGAAAATGAAATCACTTTAATTTCATAAAAACTAAGAAATCAAACGTACAAGATCTTAGATTTTGATCCAGCAGGTCTTGGCAGGCCTTTAAAAAATAAAAAAAATAAATTTGCTACTCACCCCTGTAAAATCTTTATTTATTATGCGATTTTAACCGGATTTGCTTTAAAATGTTGATCTTGATAAACTGTATTTTTGAAACAAAAAACGCCATATTTTTACAAAATACAAGGCCTACTATGTCAGTTTTTAAGAGTAAATTTTTAAGAATTCATATTAGCGATTTTTTTCACATTGAACAAAATCTAAGCACGGCACTGGATTCACCACCCCTCAAAACGACCCTATACTAAATTTTATTAAAAAATTTTAAGAAAAAAAATGCACAATAATAATTACAAAAATTTTGTCAAGTTATCCATGAAAAAACATTGAAATAAAACTTTTAGTAATAGTACCATGTTAATATTAGTTTAATTTAATTTCAATGTTTTTTTCATGGATAACCTGACAAAATAAATTTTTGTAGTTAATTTTGTGCATTTTTTTAAATTTTTCAATAAAATTTAGTATAGGGTTGTTTTGAGGGGTGGTGAATCCAGTGCGTGCTTAGATTTTTTTTTAAATTCTTAAAAATTTACTCTTCAAAACTGACACAGTAGGCCTTGTAATTTTTAAAATGTGTCGTTTTTGCTCCAAAAATACAGTTTATCAAGATCTACACTTTAAAACAAATCCGGTTAAAATTATTACATGGAATAGGTATATTCACATCAACAAGAAACTAAATTTAATTTGACCTTTATTTTTGCGGTTTAGGAATTTGTTGTTCTCGTTATGTTCTGGTTTTTGATAGGCCCCCTAAAAGGGGAATTTCCATATTTTATTTTTATTTTTTGCGGTAAAAATAAAAAATCATTAATTTAAACGAAATCCAAGATGGTTGTTTCCTTGCGTCTTTATAAAATCAATAATAATAATAATCATGTTTGATGATTTATTATATATAATTGTATACAATTACTAAAAAAACTGCCTTGAGGCAGTAATTACTGATTAGCAAGCACAACATATTTAATTATTCTATTGATTTTATTTTAGTATTAGTTATTGATACCAATATTTGGAAAAAAGAAATACGTTGAACTGTCTTCTCTCCCTAAAAACTTGACTAACTCTGATTATTTTAGGTACTACTACGATAAAAACATAATGTCCAAAGTACATGGCAAACGTTATGCATACAAGTTCGACTTCCATGGACTTATGGCAGCGTGCCAGGCACAAGCGCAAGGGCAAGGCGAGATGATGCCAGCCTATCACAAGTACCAACCCCACCAAAGTGAATTGGGCGCGGCGCTTTACCCTACAGGTTCAGGGGGGAATCCCAGGCTGCCTAGCATGCTTCCCGGGGGAGGTCAGCATTCGCAACCAGGGCTGTTTTCCCCTTCAAGTTATTGGCCCTACTCGCCTGGCTCGTTTGACCCCAGAGGACCCCCTTTTAATTAAAAATATTATCTTTCCTTAATTTTAGTTGAAATTTGTAAATATTGAATCGTTGTTTTTATCCATATTGTGATATGTTTATCTACTTAAAGTAAATACTCCTTTCAGCACACCAGCATAGTTGCTGATACTTAAAACTTAAAGTCTATTCAAATCCAAGCTGGACTAAACAAAAATTCCTTTCTATTGGTCGATTCTGATGGTGTAACTCGGATTGTGAGCTCTTATTGGTCGATTCGGAAGATTGTGTTTACATTTAGTTCAGCTTGGATTTGAATAGACTTTAGAAGTTTAATTTGGTAAAAAATGTGTTTTTAGGTTCTTTCTAAATTGTTACCTATTACCTTAAGTTTTTCAAAAAGAAAAGTTGTGTATATAAGTCTGCTTTTTGGGATATTAGCCAGTTTTATAGGTGTAAGTTCCTTGTTTTTTGCTTTAGTTTTAAGTATTAAAACATTCTACCCTAGTAGGTTAAATAAGTAATAAATGTTAATTTGTTAATAATAAATTAATAAAAAACATAATTTAGTTTACTTTACCCTTTGTTGTTTCAAATTTAAAATAATTTATTTTTACCTTTAATACATCGCACATCCATTTCAAGAATACCATAACTCAAAAATCAACAGTTTTGAGTTATGGGGTCATTCCACGTTACTCGGGGATTTTTGTCCCGCCCGTCACAATTAAAAATTGTGAGTAAAAACTACACGTTATAAAATTTATTTAAAAATATTGTTTTATTATGCTTTTAAGCTATAAGGTAAATTCTCATATAACTTGTTCCGATGCTGTATCCACTTATTTTTGTGAAAACTAATTCTCGCTCAAGGTTTTTTTTAGTGTAATAAGCATGTAGCATTTCAAGGTAATGGGAACTTAAATTATGACAACCCTAATCTATTAATTTTTTCCTAAAATGCAGGCTTTATGTTGCAAATGTCACATAAGTTACCGGTCTCCAACTGCAATATCCTAACATTGATGAATATTTTAACAAAATGGCTGTTGAAACAACTAATGTTAGTGCTTGATTAACTAAAAATAGACTTAAGATTGACGAAAAATTATTTTATCCGAAATCGGCAGTAAAGTAGAACTTTACTGCCGATTTATTTTAATTTACGATTGTTGACTACTTTACTGCCGATTTCGGATAAAATAATTTTTTGTCAATCTTAAGTCTATTTTTAGTTAATCAAGCACTAACATTAGTTGTTTGAACGGCCATTTTGTTAAAATATTCATCGATGTTAGGATGTTGCAGTTGGTGACCGGTAACTTATGTGACATTTGCAACATAAAGCCTGCATTTTAGGAAAAAATTAATAGATTAGGGTTGTCATAATTTAAGTTCCCATTACCTTGAAATGCTACATGCTTATTACACTAAAAAAAACCTTGAGCGAGAATTAGTTTTCACAAAAATAAGTGGATACAGCATCGGAACAAGTTATATGAGAATTGACCATAAGCACAATAAAAATAATATTATAAAATATTAATTTTATAACTTGTGGTTTTTACTCACAATTTTTAATTGTGACGGGCGGGACAAAAATTACCGAGTAACGTGGAATGCCCCTATGGTAGTTTTTAAATACTTACCCTCTAAAAATGAATTAGTCAAAAATGACTAATTTAATAGTTATTAGTGGCTGCTTTTTTACTTGTACCATGGTTAACCATTGAATACCATGCATGGTATCCCAAAATTAAACAACCAATTCTTATGTAAAATTGTCCCCTGAATCCTGAAATACCGTCAAAAATTATGAAAGTGGCGCAGTTTTTTAGATATAGTCAATTCCATATTAAATGGAAAATTGACTATCTCAAAAAAAATACTTTTTTAACTTTTGACGGATTTTTTTGGATTCAGGGGACAATTTTACATAAGAATTGGCTGTTAAATTTTGGGATACCATGGTATTCCATGGTTAACCATAGTACAAGTGAAAAAGCAGCCACTATAGTAACTATTAAATTAGTCATTTTTGACTTATTCATTTTTAGAAAGTACAACCTACACTGAAAAAATGTATGTAATTTTATTGTAAAATTATCTGGATTTTCAAGGTATTTTTATTATGAAATGCGTGTAAAAATAAAATTACAAGGAATTTCTGATATTTTTACAGAAACTTGACATTTTTACTATATGATTGTAAAAATATTTACTAGTTTTACTTTTTGTATGTGAAATTACATTGTTTTTATATTATTTTAATCCTTTTCCAATTTTACAAGTTTATTGTAAAAATAACCAATGAAATAGCAAAGTGACAGAAACATACAATATTTTTGTAATTTTACAAACCAATTGTAAAGTTCGACCAATCAAATAAGATAAATATATCACGTGTGCCGTTTTGTTCCTTTTTATTGTGGTAAGTATAATTTACAAAGGTAATATATCTTTAATACTTTTTTACTCGAAAACCAGACAGTCAATATTTCTAAAACTTTGTAAATGTCTTTTAAGTAGACTCTACTACAACCTAGATTTTTTTCAACATTTTTTCATAGAGACTAATATCTTGCCTGAATCTCCTTAAATATTTTTTAAATATTACAGATAATCCTGAATAGAGATAATTTTTAAATATTTTAGCTTCAGATCAAGTTTGTTTATTAGTGTCAAAGAATATTCCTTGGTATTAGCAAAATTTTTTATGTATATAAAATTGTTGCTATAACAAAAACAATATTAAGGAGAACAACCCAGATTTTCAAATAAAAATATCTACGTTAGACCTACTTAAAATCAATTTTGTCAAAATCCATGGCTTCGTGAAGATTGTTTATTTTTAAATATTAAATAAACCCTCTGAAGGGGATTTTTTTTGACACTCCCCTCACAGTTGGCCTACTTAATATTTAAAAAATATTTTTAAGGATTTTTATATTGAAAAATATTTTTATCGTTGTTGTTGAGTATAAAATTTTAATTGAAAAATAGATGAACCTAGATATTTAATATTCTTTACATCTGAGGCGCACCTACTTATCAATTCCAATTTAAAAAAATGGTTAATGAAATCGGTCAATTTGGTGAAAATACCGTACAAAATACATAGTAGACCTGCAAGAAGGAAAATAAATAAAAACTTCTTTCAAGCAAGCCTACTTAATATCTTATGCAGTATAGTATTTTATTAATGTTTAACTTACTCTTAGATGATTTTTGGTGCAAACGCTAAAGCACAACTGATATCTTTCCCTTAAATTCATTTTAATTTATAGTGTATTACTGTAAGCAATTTGCAGAAATATTAATATTTACTAAAGATAAGGAAACAATTATTCTAATGTTCTGTTATATGATGTTTTTACATACATATTAATAAACAGTTATTAAAAATAACATAAGAAGATTAAAAAAAAAATTTTTTAATAATAAATTATTAATTTATATTAAAAATGGACAGAATAACATAATAGTATATTATGTATCAAGTTTGATAAACGCCATTTTATACACGAATTTAATTTATCGAGTGTATAGAAAAGTTTATAAACGAGGTGCATACTATACTTTTTCTACGACAAATACTTATTATTATCTTAAAATGATTTAAATTAAAAATGTGTATAGAGCGCCATCTATGAAACAATAGGGGAATCTGTGTGTCACCGTCAAATATCACATTTTTACATTTTATAAACACAGATTATAAAGGTTATAAATCGAAATGTATTTCTTGAAAATTTACAGTTTTTCACAGTGAAAGTAAAGAAAATGTTTTATGAGGATTTTACAGTGGAGTCCGTGCCCGAATTTAAGTTATAGTTTACTGCCGGCGAAATTAAAAGGTCACTACAATGTTCTTATAAACTTTTCAAATATTGGCCTTGAGAAACTATTTAATACTTTTGTATTTTTGTAATGAGATAATAAAATAATTTTCACATTTAGTTTTATTTTACAAGAAAGGCACTTTATTTTAACGATTGTATGACATTTGACAACTGTCAACTAAGTTAAAACTAACTTCAGCCCTCGACTAAAAACCTGTTGCTAACTTCAGCCCGTGACTAAAGCGCCATAAAGCCACAACTTGTCAATGTGAATTTAAAAGGAGTTGAAAAAATTAATTTAGATCTATTTTAGTACTAAACCATGGTAATTACATTGGCTTTTAAAAAAATAATAATTTCATAATTTTTACTTGCACTTAATTATCAAAGGCGAGGTGCAACCTTTAAAAAAACATTTTGTTTATTAAATTAATAAAAATACATTTTTCATGGAGTTTCATCTTTTTGACAACCACTGTATATCGAATAAATTTAAAATTATTTAAGATAAAATAAAATTTGGTACATTTGTTAGTAACTTAAATTTTGACAAATATCAAATATAAAGGTAATTCCTTTCTAATGTTATTTTTTTTGTACAAGGTTTAAAAAAAAGAATATCCAAATTTACGACTCCATCACTTTTAATTCATTGATTCCCGTGAATACTTTTTTTGAGCATAAACTACAACTATACATATATGTATATTATTGAACTTCAATTTGAATATAATCAAAAGAAATACTTTTTCGGAATTTGATATTTAGTTTTTTATGTTTTGGCCTTTTTTCGCCATTAAAAAAACTAAAATAGGACTAAAATATATTTTTCTGGGGTTGTATTTATAAAACAATATATTTTTTTTACAAAAATGAAAATTTTAAGTTTTGTTATTTAAAATAATTTCTTAAATACATTTTTTTCCTAAATTTTAATAAAAGGCTTATTTTATACCGTAATCAAAATTTTAGTCAAATCAGATGTCCAACATCTCTGTAATAAAAATGATTTTTAATAAAATATTTTTAAATTTAGTAAAAAAATATTTATTTTTTTACACCCACGGGATAGAATTTATAAAATATTCCATTCATGGCCACAAATAAATGGCACTGCACTGCGATAAATCTACAGGAAGTATTTATCAATTGAAGCAGTCCCTCATAAATTGAATTCTTCAGAGCTGCTATCAGTTTGTATCAAACAGCAAATTTAAGTCAACCGTAAAATAATGTCCGGCAACTTTTGCAATGTAGTTTCTCTTTTGGTTTTTTGGGTTTGTTATTTTCAGTTTGTTCATTGTGGATTTTCTACTACAAGTAAGTTTGTTGTTTGTTTGATTTTGCTTGGGTCATTACTTAATTTATTTATTTGTTTTTCTGTGACCTTGCATTGTAAATTTGCGGTTATTTGTATGATAAGGGCATAGGAATTAGGCATGTTTATAACGTTAAACTTTAACCCCTCTACTTTGCCCTACTCCACTGGCATTACTCTAGACAACAAATTAATGATTTAAAAATAGATTTGAATCCAAGGGCGTACAGACGGTTTCTTTAAATTTTAATGTATTATAATATATTTACATGGTGTTTCATAATTGGTGACAACAAATTAAATATCATATGTAAAATTTATTTATTGTTAGAACATTGAAACACCATGTTATATAATACTACTTTTTAATCCGATTGTACAGGGTGAAACAACAAAATGATTCTTTGGCCAAAAAGTACCTAGTGTTTATTCATAAAAGTAAGTTTTTGTATTTAATTTGGGTTTTCAGTGTTCCAAAAATGTCGCCCTAACGGTATAATTACAATTTTTGACAATTCTAAAAAATAAAGTAAAAATTTGTTAATAATAAATTATGATTATACGCAATATATTTTAAGGACGTTTCACAAATAAAAAGTAATTTTTTTGTAGTTTTTTCATATATCACGTGGTATGGGATTAGTACATTTGTAGTGGTTTCGGCACACCCTGTATGTTATACTAGTAATTTAATAAAATTTTAATCTATTTTTGTGGTTTATTAACCGCTTTTACAGATTGAGCAATGCAATTTATAAATTATTATATATAATAGATCAAAATGCTTTTAAAAAATAGTATATAAAACTCGGCGGCGAATGCCTCGCACACAATCTTCTGCCTTGGCTGTCGCCTCAGCAGTGAAATGTATGCTCGGCGATAATATTTGATTTCTCGGTCTGGTCTATAATGTACTATTACTGTTAAATATAATTATCGATTTAAGACATTTTTATTTGTATTTTAATCGGGAAAATTTAATAGCCAATAGAACTTGCAAAAATAGGAAGAAGAGATTTTATAAACTAAAGAAAAAAAAGTATCGTCACGCCACTGCGTTTCATAAGTTTAATATTATAATTAGATTAAGTAATTAAAAATAAAACTTTTTGTTTCTTGCATTTTTAAGAAAAACATTAAATTCGTTTTTCGAAGGGCGAGCGAATAAACGATTTTTTTTTAATTAAATTAAATGAAAAGACAAAAATACTGTATTATTAATTACTTAATCTAATAAAATTAATAAACTTACAACAAAATCAGTGGCGTAGATACTCAAATTTTATTTTTAAATATTATATAAAAATAATGAACAAAGCTGGCTATTGCTACACTAGTTAAATAATGAAAATATTGTACCACTAGTGAAACAATGAAAAAGAAGAAGAAAAGAATTGTTAATATATTGACAATTAATACAAACAATAAATTTTAATCGCAAATAACTTTTTTATTTGATTTATCGAATATTTAAGAATATTGTAGATAAATTAATTGAAAATCGCTTACATTTTAAAAATTTACTAAAAAATAGTCGTACGTTTATAATATACAGGTTTAAACAAAAATTTTTTTTTACCAAAAATGTTTTTTTTTAAATCCATATTTTCCACAAAAATAAATATATCGAGGTGAACCTAAAGCAAAACTATTAAGAATAGATGTGACTTGATAATTAAAACTTAATTTAGAAGAATATACGGTTTTGCCACTCTACAGTGTGTCTTAAACTTATGGTAAAAAACATATTTTTGTTTAAACCTGTATATTATAAACGTACGTCTATTTTTTAGTAAATTTTTAAAATGTGAGCGATTCTCCATTAATTTATCTACAATATTATTCAATATTCGTTTAAATCCGAAATGAAATAAAAAGTTATTTGCGATTTAAATTTATCGAAAATTTGTGTGGATCGATTATTTTGCGTGTGAGTGTATTTGGAATTAAATTTTAAAGGTAAATAATGTTAAAAAACATACCCTCAAAAATTAAATTACTTATCTGGTAAACTATTTTGACAAAAGTATTATTTTTTTATTTGATTGTGGGACAATAATATTATTAAAATAAATGAAAAAATTAAATAATTTTAAATATTTTTCAAGTAATTTATTTTTATAAGTTTATTGATATTTAAATAAAATAAAATTACGCTATAAATAAAATATTAGAGTTAATCTTATCAGATTTGCAAATAGCAATTAAACTGTTTTGAAAACATTCGCTGGATGTGTGTTTATTTATTTTACATTGTAGAAAATAATCGTTATCGGTTTCAGAGATAGGACCGCCGCCCATATGGAACTCAACGCACACCGATAAGTTGAGACAGGATCTTCTGCTTAACTATGATAAGTTCGCAAGGCCGGCTCAACACTACAACACGACCATCGTAAAATTCGGCATATCAATTTACCATGTCGAAGTGGACGAGTTCAAGTCTACTATGACCGTCCATTCTTGGCTTAGGCTGGTTAGTTACGTTCTTATCTATAGATTATGCCAAGGTTAAGGCCAAATAAAAACATTAAACTTTAAATGACGTTATACCAAAGTAATATTTTGTCATAGATTTTAGTACAAAATATTAATTTTCAGATTTTGTTAAAGAATTTAATAGAACGTATTCTTCTTAAGGTAAAATTTATTGGTTCAAAATTGTTGCAAAGTGAAACTCATTATTACGGAATGCCGTTGTATATACAATCACAGGCAAAATAATCGATGAATTTCAATCGCAAATAACATTTTTATTTGATTTCGGATTTAAACAAATATTAAAGAATATTGTAGATACATTAATGGAGAATCGCTCACATTTTAAAAATTACTAAAAAATACACGTACGTTTATAATATACAGGTTTAAACAAAAAGATGTTTTTTACCATAAGTTTAAGACACTCTGTAGAGTCAAGTCACATCTATTTTAAACAGTTTTGTTTTTGGTTCACCTCGATATATTTATTTTTGTGAAAAATATGGATTTTTTTAGAAAAACATTGCAATTTCCAACATTTTTCCTGTATGAGGAACTAAGGTTGCTATGGTCCATCCATAGCCTATGGAGGATGACAGTGACAGTTTTGTTGAATCATCCCATCCTTGGACATGTCATATACATCTTTCAAAAGCTATCAAATTGTTTTTTGTAAATTAATGTGTTAATTTTGAGGTGTCTTCTTACTTTTAAAAATGTCTCCGACTGATGTTACTTCTTGTGACGTTTAAAACACTTGCCACGTAATACTGGATTAAATTAATGGCTCTGACAACATCAGTCGGAGACATATCAATTTTTTAAAGTAAAAAGACACCTCAAAATTTAAACATTAATTTGGAAAAAACAATTTGATAGCTTTTGAAAGCCGTGTATGTCCAAGTATGGGATGATACAATAAAACTGTCATTGTCATTCTCCATAGCCTATGGATGGACCATAGCAACCTTAGTACTTCATACAGAAAAATATTGGAAATTGCAATATTTTTTTAAATCCATATTTTCCACAAAAATAAATATATCGAGGCGAACCAAAAACAAAACTGTTAAGAATAGATGTGACTTGATAAATAAAACTTAATTTAGAACAATATACGGTTTTGCCACTATGGTAAAAAACATATTTTTGTTTAAACCTGTATATTATAAACGTACGTCTATTTTTTAGTAGTTTTTTAAAATAAGAACGATTGTCCATTAATTTATCTATAATATTCTTTAATATTCGTTTAAATCGGACATCAAAGAAACAAATTATTTGCGATTGAAATTCATCAAAAATTTGTGTGGATCGATTATTTTACCTGTGAGTGTATAACAAATTGTATTTTTTAATAAAAAAAAAAACAATTAAAAATAAACTTTAAAAGTTTTTCATCTTTAGGTGCAAATTTACGCAATTTTATTGTAAAACATTAATCCCGGCGCATTCGCCATTTTTGCAAGTTTTTAAATTTATTTCCAATAATTAGTTTTTTATCGAAAAATAACATTTATTTTTTAGATGTGGACTGATGAAAAACTTAAATGGAGCCCGGCAGATTACGGTAACCTTGAAACACTGAATCTTGCCGATCACGAAATTTGGCAACCCGATGTTTTCCTATATAACAGGTAAAACTTAATTACTCGCACATCAATCGCCTTTTCTTATGGTAAAAATAATTTAGTGCCACAGCAGCCACCATAAACCACTACGCCAACACCCATTGCATAGTCTACGAAAATGGAGAGGTCCTTTGGGTACCACCAACTCAATTTACAGTGCTTTGCCAGCTGAATTTAAGATATTGGCCCTTTGATACACAGGAGTGCTTCTTGAAATTTGGTTCTTGGACTTACAATGGTGACCAAATCGACCTGGAAATTATGCAAAATCAAACCGTTGTTGAAAAGGTGATGTTTTATAATACGCTATATCGTAATATTTTAATTGGTATATAGGGTAATATTTATTGACAAAAAAAAATTTCGTGGAAATTTGAGCCCTTAATATTAATTTTAAGAGGTCTATCATCAAGGCTATCAAGAAAAAATTGAAATTTTAGGTTTTTCTTCGATTTTAATCGCGAATAACTTTTGAAGAATTAAATTTAGGCAAAAATGTTAAGAGACCTTTTTTGTAGAACATTAAATTTTCTTTAAGAATCCGACGTGAGCTTTTTTAAATATTCATTGATTCATTAGTTACAAAATTTCAAAGTAAAAAGGGCAAATCGAAAAAACACATCGATTTATTAAGCTCAATTACTCGGAAACGGCTCATCTGACGAAAATTTTCAATCAGACCTTTTTTGTAGAGAATTTAATTTTATATAAAAATAAGTAAAAAGGATTTTTTTTCACTTTAATGGTTTGACAGTTCTAACGTAAAACATCAAATTATGACTAAAAATCAAAAATAGCGATGATAGACCTCTTAAAATTATTATTAAGGGCTCAAATTTTCACCAAATTTTTTTTTGTCATTAAGAATGACATTCTCGATATATTTTTCAAAAAAAAGGCAATTTTTTTGGCCCAGTCTAATATTTATAGTAGTAATATTTACTATTACTACTAAAAGGTCGGTTAAAATAGACAAACGTTAAGTAATTACAACCCTTTTAAAATGGCATTTAAAAATTCGGAAAAAAATCAGCGGTTCTCAAATAATTTGAAAAAAAACTGAAAACCTATCAAAACCAAAAATCGTTATAACTATAATTTATATACGTTTAAGGAGGAGAGTATTAGGACCAATTTTACAAAATAATAATAATAATTTTAGAAAAAAATACTTTTAGTCAGAACTGATGATACAAAATTCGGAATGGAACATGGTACAGGCATCCTTAAAAAAATCGGTCATTTATTATTCTTGCTGTAAGGAACCTTACCCCGACATAACCATAACTTTGAATTTAGAAAGGGTTTCTCCAAGCTATAGAGCTATAATTGTAACACCTGCATTTGGTAAATATATTCTTAAACTACCTTATTAAATTTATCACCCTTTATTTTTAGTGATAATCCTGTTAACGCTTATATCATTTTGGCTGCCCCCTTCAGCAGGAGAAAAAATTATTATAAACAGTTGCACTGCTATTATAATTTGTATATTTTTGCTATACTTCAGTCAAAAATTACCTGCTATGGGGACACATACACCGTTAATAGGTGAGTAAAAAATAAAATGATCTACTACTACTATTTCTAACGTTTTTTTTCTTTTTAGTCCTATTTTATTGCAGTGCTTTGTATATAGTAAGTTTCTCCTTGATTGGATCTGTGATAGTTATTTGGATCTCAAGAACACAACACACCAATTCTTTGCCGTGGATTTTAAAGAAACCCCTTACTGGGACGTTTGGAAGTTTGTTGGGGCTTGGAACTTACATGCAACATGTAAGTTAGACTTTAATAAATCTTTATATGATTATTAAGAAAAACATTTTATAAATTATTGGGTTTTTAAAAAGGATAAACCTAACTTTATACTAAAGTAGCATTATAGTAACAAAAACTGATATCGCAACTTCAATTAGTGGCAATTACGTTAAAATAACTAAAACTACCATGATACAGTTGAAATATCTTCATATTATATTAGCATAGTTGTAATCATTTGGTTTGCATCAGCAGAATCTACTTTAAAGTTTTAAAACTTTTTGGTGTATTCGCATGGTATCTGAAACGTTATGAAAACTTTTGAAACCATCTTAAAGTTGTCTAAACCTTATATATATAATTGCGGTGGTCATTGCCACGTTTTTGCTACATGCTTAAGTGATTTCCACGTTTCGTATAAGATTACCATTTTAATGTGTCTATATACAATTCAAGAACGTTGTTGGAACGTAACTGATACTAAAAAACTTATTTTCACGTATTAGAACCTTACAGTTACAAGCAAAAGTGGCCAATACGTTTCAACCACTAAAAATGCTACTGTATGCTAAAATGCTATAGAGATAATACTTTTGATTTTGTTTCAGTCAAGTATTACCACCACGCATAGAGTGACAGCTGAGGAGATGCGCGATCATCAAGTGACGGATTTTGATGATCACAGCAGCGATGAAAATCACATCATCAGAACTTCTTCCGTGAAACCGTCAGTTCAACACGATTGGATTTTGTTTGCCGCTGCGATCGATAGAATCTCGTTTTGTTTTTATTGTTTTTTGTTCGCTATTTTGGCCATTGTTTATGCGATTTAAGTTTACGTGGTATTTATGTTTAGATTAGGCCCTAGGTAATTTGTATAATAATAAACATATTTTTAAACAAAACAGCATTGTGTCTTTTTATTTAAAACTATAAGAAATTTACTATTTAAGTTTGACAATTATTTTTATTTAATTAGAAATACGAGACATGTTTCTTAAATTTAACAAAATTATGTTTTACCTTTTTTTTATTTCTTTATTTAAGCCCGATTTCTCAATCAACGTTTTGAAAAAAATTGTTGGTACTTGGAATTGCTCTGTTATTTACATAGTTGTAGATAAAGAATATATTATATATACTGTATATCTATTCTATAGAATTGAACTTGCTATTACCCAAATTGTTATCTGCGGGGTAATAACTCTTATTGTAAGCTTGTTTTAATTACTATTAAATAATATCAATTATTTTTATTAAATCACTTCTCAGATCAAATATTTTGGGAATAACAAAATGCGTTTTGATGAGCTTAATTTAGGCAACACAGTATACATTTAAAATGATGAATCACATGGTACAATACAGGCAAAATAATCGATCCACACAAATTTTCGATGAATTTCAATCGCAAATATCTTTTTTATTTGATATCGGATTTAAACGAATATTAAAGAATATTGTAGATAAATTAATGGACAAAATTACTAAAAAATAGACGTACGTTTATAAAATACAGGTTTAAACAAAAAGATATTTTTTACCATAAGTTTAAGACACTCTGTAGTGGCAAAACCGTATATTATTCTAAATTAAGTTTTATTTATCAAGTCACATCTATTCTTAACAGTTTTGATTTTGGTTCACCTCGATATATTTATTTTTGTGGAAAATATGGACTTTTTAAAAAAACATTGCAATTTCCAATATTTTTTTGTATGAAGAACTAAGGTTGCTATCCTCCATCCATAGGCTATGGAGAATGACAGTTACAGTTTTGTTGAATCATCCCATACTTGGACATGTCATACACGACTTTTAAAAGCTATCAAATTGTTTTTTGCAAATTAATGTTTAAATTTAGAGGTGACTTCTTACTTTAAAAAATGGATATGTCCCAACTGATGTTGCCAGAGCCATTAATTTAATCCAGGATGGATGGTCATAGTATTACGTACCATAGTGTTTTAAACGTCACAAGAAGTACAAAGGGCAACATCAGTCGGAGACATTTTTAAAGGTAAGAAGACCTCAAAATTAACACATTAATTTACAAAAAACAATTTGATAGCTTTTGAAAGCTGTATTTGACATGTCCAAGTATGGGATGATTTAACAAAACTGTCACTGTCATCCTCCATAGGCTATGGATGGATCATAGCAACCTTAGTTCTTCATACAGGAAAAATATTGGAAATTGCAATGTTTTTTTTTTTAAATCCATATTTTCCACAAAAATAAATATATCAAGGTGAACCGAAAAAAAATTGTTAAAAATAGATGTGACTTGATAACTAAAACTTAATTTAGAACAATATACAGTTTTGCCACTCTACAGAGTATCTTAAACTTATGGTAAAAAACATCTTTTTGATTAAACCTGTTTATTTTAAACATACGTGTATTTTTTAGTAATTTTTAAAATTTGAGCGATTCTCCATTAATTTTAATGAAGTAGGCATCTATTCATTCTTATGTAACTTTATCTAATATCCCGGCGAATTCGCCATTTTCACAACTTTTATAAGGTTCCAAAACCGTATAAAATAGTATATTATTATACAGAAGAGAATGCAGGCTATTATCATCCGAGTGAATAATTCGCATTATCTCGAGTCATACTATGCTTTTTTTACTCTAATTAAGTAATTTTCATTAATAATAAAATTTATTAATGCGTGTTTTTTTGAAAATATTGTATTTAGTTTGCGCCCCAATTTTGAGGTGATAACTGGGTCTTTTAATTAAAAAAAGCTCAAATTTTTACCAGTGAAGAAGAAATGAAACTTTCGCGGGATCTCATACAAGCATCTCGCCTCAATCATGGCTTACCTAAAAAAATTGAACTGATGTTTATTGGCAATATATACCATATGTATCTAATAATATAAATTATATAAATATTTAGAATAGTGATTAACCCTAAATTTATTTGTCAACCTAAAAGTCAAGCAGTTAGTCATGTTGGGAATAAGGTTGCTAATAAATTTTGTTTGTCTCCTAGCTACTTTAGAATGCAATGCCCAAAAAGGTATGTTTTATATTTAAATAGTTAAATAGCTTAATTTTGTATTAATGCTATTTTAGACCCCGTTATGGCAACTGCTTGCGAATACAGTTCAATTTCTATAACATGTCATCGAGGTACCATTGAGATTCTACATGGTTTTTATGGCAGAACTGACCCATATACTTGTCCAGTTTTTAGCTTTAAAGCTCCAGACACAGCCTGCAAATCCCGAAACGCATTTCAAATTTTAAAGGCAGAGTATATTTCTTTTTTTAATATTTTATTTATTTAAATGTTTAGGGAATAGTATAATCAAAATTTTTCGCTAAATCTAATGTTCTTTCTTGTATGGTTAACATTCCATTTCTAGTAATAATCATGACGTTAAGTATAATTATAATAGCCTTCCAGGGACGTCAATTATCTGGATATAATTATACTTCATAATAAATTTAGAAAAGAAACATAGTTTTGCAGTTTTGCAACAAAATTAAAGCATAGATCTAGGAACTAAACCTGTCAAAATTCAAATAAAAGAAAATAACCTGTCATTTTATGTTTTATTTTTAGATGCGATAATAAAACCTCATGTCAGGTTTATGCTAGTAATAGTGTATTCGGAGATCCATGTCCAATGACACCTAAATATTTATTTTTATATTATACATGCAAATGGTATGGAACTAATAATAATAATAATAGTCTTTACCTAGCAAAAGCTATTTTATAACAAATATAAAAAATATTTATACAAGATAATCTACATTATATTATGATTGATTTATTTTTATTTATCTTATACTTTTGTATTAACTGTTATAATTATTGCAATAAATATTAGAGTATATCTATATAATTAATTGACCTATATTTTTTTAATTTTATTATAAAATAAATGTGTAATAAAAATACCAAAATACAGTTTGGGAAATCCCTATGTAAAATGATTTATTGAGGTAAACCTTCTGTATATATATGTGTACACATATGGGTATATTTTTTATTTGAAGGGCTACAAGATCGGTCGTATGAATGAAAAGTTGCATAATAACAAGACTTTTTAAAGTTCAATACATCATTAATTTCTATTTAACCATGTAAAATTGTATTATTCAAATTTGGTTTAGTTTGTTTTAACGGCAGCTAGAAAATTAAAACAATTTCTGATCTAAGGATATGATTTATGGTATAATATTTTCATGGCTATCGCATTTTGCTGTATAAATAAATATTTTTCAAATGTATTGCGTTGTACGATGAACTGGTTATTTCGATGATAACCTATCATTCATAAAAAACAAAGAAAGTGGAAAACAAGAAAAACCCAATTTAGTAAGAAATAAAATACATATTTATTTCTGTAAAAACCAATACCGGTTTAATAAGAACGGATTAATAAATATTCACAAACTCAGTCGTTGTTTTGAACTGTAAGAGGATGACCATGAAGTCTTATGTGGTTGTGAGTTTTTTACTTATTTGTGTTCATACGTGCTATTCCGCTGACAGTGAAACTTTATGTAATTATTTTCAATTATTTTATGCAGTTATTAATAGACTATATTTAATTAAGAATGATTTTATCATTTTATTTATCTTTCGACATAACTCGGTCTGTAAGATTCTAAATATCTAAACAAAATAACGTAACTATGGTTTGTTCGCTTACAGTGAAGTGGTAAACATATTTTTACGATTTGTTTATTAATAGCAATTAAAAAGTAAAAATATTTAAAAATTAAAGGTGAGCAGATATAATTGAATTATAGTAAAGGTCAAAACATAAGTTTAACTGTTTTAAATTTTTAAAACCCATGGGTTTACTTACAAATTACGTACAACTTTAAAAAGGTCCAATTTTTTTAATTAAACATTATAAAAGTCGTTAAACCACTTCAAATAGTCTAGAACCCGAAAAAAGTATTTATAGAATTCTTTATTTCTTCATTTCTTTTCTATGTGTGTTGCATATGGGTGGATCGCTATTCTTAAGACAGCAGTGGCGTAGGGTGTTTTTTCTAGAATAATTAAATAAACCAAAGAAATTTTATAAGAAATTATTGAAACATATTTTTATTATGAATTAACATAAAATCAGAATGTAAAACATAGATACATAAATAAAAAATAAAATCAACAATTAATTCTAAACAGAAAAATAAAACTTAAAAACGAACTCTTCAAACAAAATTAATTAAAAATAAATACAAAGATTTACAAATTGACCCTTGACTTTGTTTCTTTTGTCTGTTAAAGTTTGTCCTGCCTTAGAAAAAACTTTCACTGGGTACGGAAGTGGCCACTATACCTACTTAATGTTTTTTTAAGCTCATACGAGGTGTGTTCAGAAAATAACGGGAATTGTTGAATTTTGCGGGTTCGGAGGGTCCGGTTGTCATAAAATTTTCTTTATTATGTTGGTATACATGCCCCGAAGTATGATAAAAACTTTAGCTGTTTTCCTTGTTTACTTTGTCTGTGGCAGCCGCTAAGGTTAGACGTGTTTTATGAGCTCGGCGATTTTTCGTTCGTTAAAAGAAATGGATCAAAGAATTTGTATCCAATTTTGCTTAAAAAATGAAATAGATTCTGTGAAATGTTAATAAGTAAAACAAGAGTTTACAAGTGGTATAAGAGTTTCCAAGATGGCCGTGAAGACGTTGAAGATGACGAACGCCCCGAACGCACAAGCACATTAACAACCGATAAAAACATGGAAAAAGTGAAAGAAATGGTTATAAACCATCATAGAAGTCGTTGATGATGTTGGTATATCGATTGGCTCATCCCATGAAATTTTTTCGAATGTTTTGGGTATGAAACGCGTGGCAGCAAAATTCGTTCTAAAATTGTTAAATTTCGAACAAAATTTTTGGCCAAAACAATACTGTAATGATGCCCCAGCCTCCATATTCGCCAGACATGCCTCTGTCTGACTTTTTCCTATTCCCAAAAATAAAGAGAACCTTAAAGGGCCGTCGTTTTGCAAGCATAGATGACATTAAAAGCGCATCGCTGAAAGAACTAAAGGCTATCCCAAAGATCGAGTTTTAGAAGTGTTTCGAGTTTTGGAAGAAGAGCTGGCACATGTGCATAATATCCAATGGGGACTATTTTGAAGGCGACAACATTAATGTAGACGAATAAATAAATATTTCTTTCAAAAAACTAAAATTCCCGATATTTTTTGAACACACCTCGTACAGTAAAAGATAAACATTACGTCGCAAACATATTTTTAATAAAATTAAAATAATTAATGATTTTTTAGAAGAAATCCTTTACATTGTTTTCTATTTACCCCGTGATAGCTCTTGAATATTTTTTCAAATAGTACGTAATTATGTCAAAAATATGTCATATACAGGGTGTACCAATTTCCCACGTTCTAAAGTTAATAATAACCAAGATACATGGTGTTAAAATCATCTGGTTTAATTTTGTTAAATAACTTTGTAAAAAACAAAAGTATTTGCACAAAATTTGGTATTTGATATCTGCATACGTTTAAATTAAAGGTTATGATTATTCAATCTTCCATCAAAAATAAACGAATCAAAAATTTCTTTTGCAAATTGATTAATACCCCGTTTTCACATGTGCTGATTAATAAACTTGTTTTGTTTAGTTATAGGTATGTATAGTTTTTATAATTTTGATAAAATATCAAGTCTATTAATAACTGCAAATTTATACAAAATATATATTTTCAACTAAACAAAAATTTTCATTTTTTTTTTCATTTTATTTTAGTGTTATTTACACCAAAAGAAAACTCTTTTAACTACACCTTTCTCGGCTTGGATTCCGACCATTTTAGCTTTGAGGTGGAAGCAACCAACGACGTCCATGTGGGATTGTTCACCAAAACCGAGGCCACCCCGCCTTGGTACGAAATCGTGATAGGGGGTTGGAGTAACACCAAATCCGTTATAAGAAAGGATAAAACCGACGAACACGGTTATATAGTTGTGACCAGTCAAACTTTGGGTATTCTGGACCCGAAGAAGCCCAACAAATTTTGGGTTAGGATTTCCAAACGCACCATTGCTTGTGGATTTAAAGGAGATCCAGATCCGTTTATCGCTTGGAGAGAAAGCGATGCTTTGCCTGATATTACTTATGTTGGATTCCACACTGGTTTTGGTAAGGGCTCATTTTGATTTAGTAATTATCTAAATAATTTTTTTGTGCTTAATTTTAGGTTCAACTGGCAAATGGAAAGTACGCATACCAAGACTATACGATGAAGATGCTAAATAGACAAAAAATATTCAAATAATAAAAATGTTATATAACTTATAAATTGCAATATTAGAATATTTTGTAGAATAATTTTGTAGCTTTGTAGGAACAATAAATGCCATGTAGAACATTATTATAAACACCAAATACTTAAATAGCATTCATAGACCAGATTAAAGATTTGCATATTCTAATTCAATGTTTTTTATTTAAAAATGATTGCGCATTGTAAGTATATGTTTAGGTTTTATTAACAATATCAAGAAATTTCTTAAGGACAATTATTATCATTAAAAAGAGCTATCTTCTTTAATATATTAAGAGTAGGTAAATTATTAAAGTGTAGGTATAAGCAAGTTCGACACATATATTATTTAAAAGGTTTAAACAATAAATAATACTAAATAAACAAATTAGCCAATTAACAGCTTAAAGTTATAACTTTTATTTACAAATACTATTTTTTTATATTTTAGTTATAATTGATAACTTCACACTGATTGGCATAGAACCAGAAAAATACGGCAACAAGAATCACCCTTTGTCTTCGAGATTATTCACCCCAAAAGAAAACTCTTTTAACTACACATTTTTGGGTATTGATTCCGACCATTTTAGCTTCGAAGTGGAAGCAACCAACGACGTCCATGTGGGGTTATTTTCCAAACCCGAGGCTACCCCGCCGTGGTATGAAATCGTGATAGGGGGTTGGGGTAACACCAAATCCGTATTAAGAAAGGACAAACAAGATGAACACGGTTATATAGTCGTGGAGAGTCAAAGTTTCGGTATTTTGGACAAGAATAAGCCCAACAAACTTTGGGTGAGGATGACGAGAAACACAATTGCTTGTGGGTTTAGAGGGGAAGCAGATCCTTTTATTTCTTGGTGGGAAAAAGGTAATCTACCCCGTATTACTTACGTCGGATTTCACACTGGTTTTGGTAAGAATACATGTTCGAAAATACAATATTTCTACTGCTTTATTTTAGGATCGACTGGTAAATGGAAGGTACTTTTACCAAAATTAAGTGAAGAGGGCGCTAAATAGATCGATGAAAATATAACTACAATTGTCTATGATCGAATAAAATATGATATAATATAACATGATGACTGCTGATACATTAAAAAACTATTTGTTAATATGTTTAAAATGTTTTAAAATATTATAGTATTATATACACGACGTGTATTATACGTGTGTTACTTTTTAATTAAGACGTTGCATTAAATATAATTTTTTATAAGTTTGTACATTATTGTATAAGTTTGGGTTAGTGTAGGATTGGATTCGCTGGGTCCAGGGTATTATTAAGGGTGTCCCATAATTAGCGTGAAAACAGTAGATTCTACACTGAAAGAAATATATGTTTGTTTTAGCAAATGTATGTGGTTCATATATGGACTACCACATACATTGCTAAAACAAACATATATTATATTTAGTTTTAACATAATATGTTAAAACTAAATATAAAAATGGTTAAGGTAAATATATTTTATGTTTCATATATAGACTACCACATACATTGCTAAAACAAACATATATTTCTTTCAGTGTACGTACAAAATAGGAAAAAAGTCCCTGTAAACATAGGTCGAGAAATAACTAAATATTTTAGTATATTACAAAAGATCCAGGTTTTTTAGCTTGTCCACCCAATTTTAATGTATTTTTTCAAAAGCACGTTTGTAGAAAAACATAATAAATATTCAAAACATCAGTACCTTGGCGTGTCACAACTCCTAAATCAAATATTTGTGTGGTTTTATTTTAAAATATATTCAATTTATCTTAAATTTTTCAATTTCACTACAAACTATAAAACATTAAATAATGTATTTTTCATATTTTATCATAGATTCGAATAATAGCAATTTTTAAAAAATTGATAATCTTTGTACTCACTTTTACCCGTCAGTTCTGTGTCCAATGTTAGAATTCAAAATTCCTGCGAAATATTGAAGTTTAAACGTCAAGTCCTCGTTTTAACTCAAGTTTTGGTAAAAAATTACCTACAGAGCCCGCCCTTTGTATTTTATATAAGGCTACATGTGATTTGTTGATAAGTAGCATCCACTAATAAAAAATATCAGTAAAATACTTAATTCAGAATTATAATCTCAAATTTGTATCCCATTCATCAGTACCGTGTCGTCAGTTCCATGTTCGATGTTTCGGTTATCTTTTTTTCGCAAACTTCAATTTAAATTCTGCTTGCGCAGAACTTGTTTATTTAATGTCATTATAAACTCATATAAATTTGGTGTGGGTGCCATATCTAATAATTGAGATATCGGTATACCCAAAATTCACCAGCCGCCACTGATGTGAGGTAGTATTTGATTTTAAGATATTTAATGTATAATATGCTCAAAGTTGCAATAAATCTTATATTTTCCAATAAATTATGTATTTAATTAGTACCCTGGTATACTCGTCACTTCAATTCAAATTTAGAAAACACAGATATTTCAGAAACTGTTTGAAAAAGTGGCTGGCCCGGTCTGGAACAGTATATTTATTATATTATCTATGTTCTAATAACAAAATATTGTATAATTTTCTATATGAACAAAATGAGGTCAAAAGTTGCCCAACTTTTGTAGAATCACCCATATCATAAATAATATTGATAAACTAATTATTCCTATGTTGTTTTTTTTTCAAACCAGTAAAAAATAATAATTCAATTATATAGAAATAAATGTTATTTCAATGGGATAGTAAAATCAAAGTTAGTCTGTTTGGACAATATTTTCTAAAATTCAAAATTTCAGTTTTAGTGCTTCAGTTTTTTTATATGTTTTTTAATGTTTAATATTTTAAATGCATATCCAACCAAATATTTGCACTAGACATAATTAAAAAAAACGTGAACATAATAACAACAAATATGAAGTTCTTTAAACTGCAACCAACAGTAAAGTTAATTACTAAGAAACTGCGAAAACCAGAAAAAACCCAGGCATAATTCAAAGACATTCATAAATTATTATTCGTTATAACCAATCCTGCCTTATAAGAAGTGCATCTATAAATATATTCCCATACTCAGTCGTAATTTTGACCTGCACGGTTTGACCATGAAGTGTTTGATTCCAAGTTTTCTGCTTTTTTGTATCCATGTCTGCTTCACCTGTGCTAAATGCGATGACTGCGATAATGTAGGTAAATAATTTTAACACATTTAAGTACTATTATTTTAATAACTGCAGTTATTAATCGACCAATTTTGATATCAAATATGTATTAGCTTCAGGTAACTCATGATGGAAAATGTGTACAAGAATATTGTATTTTTATTATGCTTAGGAATTGTTTTTAACTATTTAATACGTTAAACTAATTATCCTTGGGAAGAAAGATAATTGCCATGTACAGTTTTATACATTACTGGATATAAACATATGCAACTAAAACAATGTTTTATAAATTCTAAAAATAAATTGTTGTTTTTAAACTTTGCGGTTAAAGATAATTACTAATAATATTACAAAAGACTCGTCCTTTAATAACTGCAAAAAGGCAATTTTTAACGTACACTCTCTTACTAATTTTTTAGTCCTAATAACTACAAGTGAAAACTACACCCTTATCGGTTTTGAAGATGAAAAGCATCAAAGCCAGTCGATTAATAACTGCAAAGAAAGTCAGTGCGCTATAAAATGGGAAACTAAAGAAAACGATGATCTTCTTCCAGTGTTATTTACTCCGAAAGACAACAATTTCAACTACAGCTTTATTGGTATAGAGGCTAACAAATTTTCGTTTGAAGTAGAGGCAACCAATGACATTCACATTGGGTTGTTTAGCACCCCATCAACTGATCCGCCATGGTACGAATTTGTGATTGGGGGTTGGGGTAACGCAAAATCTGTTATTAGAAAAGATAAAGTTTTGTACCCGTACCTTATGGACAATGATGTCGTAACTTCCCTTACTCCTGGTATAGTGCAGACGAAGATACCCAATAAAATGTGGGTTAGGTTTAACAAACATACAATTTCTGCTGGGTTTCAAGGGGAAGACGCTTTGATTTCTTTCAGGGATGTAAAACCCATACCGAAAATTACTTACGTTGGATTTCATGTTGGTTTTGGTAAGGATTTTTGAGTTAATAAAAGTTTAACTTTATTTGAATATGCTTTAATTTTAGGTTCAAATGGAAAATGGAAAATAAATATACCTAGGGTTCGGGATGAAAGAAGATGATGCTATTTTTACACTTTGTAACTTTACTGCATGTCATTAAAGTTCGTGCATCAATTTTATTATAGCTCATATTATAAACCTTTGCTTAAAACCTTGTGAAAAGCTTTTCTTACACAGGCAAAATAATCGATCCACAAAAATTTTCGATGAATTTCAATCGCAAATAACTTTTTTATTTGAAGTCGGATTTAAACGAATATTAAGGAATATTGTAGATAAATTAATGGACAATCGCTCACATTTTAAAAAATTACTAAAAAATAGACGTACGTTTATACAGGTTTAAACAAAGATGTGTTTTTTACCATAAGTTTAAGACACTCTTTAGAGTGGCAAAACCGTATATTGTTCTAAATGAAGTTTTATTTATCAAGTCACATCTATTCTTAACAGTTTTGTTTTTGGTTCACCTCGATATATTTATTTTTGTGGAAAATATGGATTTTTAAAAAAAATTGCAATTTCCAATATTTTTCTGTATGAAGAACTAAGATTGATATGGTCCATCCATAGGCTATGGAGAATGACAGTGACAGTTTTGTTGAATCATCCTATACTTAGACATGTCATAAGCTATCAAATTGTTTTTTGCAAATTAAGGTTCAAATTTTGAGGTGTCTTCTTACTTTAAAAAATGGATATGTCTCCGACTGATGTTGCCAGAGCCATTAATTTAATCCAGGATGGACGGTCACAGTATTACGTGGCAAGTGTTTTAAAGTCATAAGAAGTAAAGTACAAAGGGCAACATCAGTCGGAGACATTTTTAAAAGTAAAAAGACACCTCAAAATTAACACATTAATTTACAAAAAACAATTTGAATTTTTGAAAGCTGTATATGACATGTCCAAGTATGGGATGATTCAACAAAACTGTCACTATCATCCTCCATAGGCTATGGATGGACCATAGCAACCTTAGTTCTTCATACAGGAAAAATATTGGAAATTGCAATGTTTTTTTAAAAAAAATCCATATTTTCCACAAAAATAAATATATCAAGGTGAACCAAAAACAACAAAAAAACCCAATTCCAACGTTTTTAACAAAAGACATTTTAAAGTAAAAAAAATTTAAATCATGTCACCCTATTGGGCATATCATTGTTTTTCTCTAAAAGCAATGGGCATATTTTCAATATTTGATATTTTATTTTATTATTCATGGTATTTATGGTAATTCATGTTACAAGAAAAACAATCTATATTTCAGTTTTAATTTTAACTATTAAACTAAATTACGAAAACAATAATTACGCAATTTCTGAATAAATATTAAATCCAGTTGATTATTTACCAAGATATAAAAAGTGGATGGTCTTAATGATGTTTATTTAAAAAACCCTAATTAAGAATCAACGACTACATTTTTATTGTTAAAATATTTTTCTCCACGATGGACTATGAAACTATAACCCCATTGAAAAGTAAGTTTTTAAATATTTAATAAGTAAATCAAAAATAAATATATTACATCGTAGATGACAGACTAATCATCATAATTTATGCGAGTCTATACATGAGCAAAATGATAGTTAATCGTCTTAGTTTATGGGCAAGCTTTTGTCTGCATGTTTTTAATCAAATTATAACTTATAATTATTTAATACAAGATTTTTCTTTTAAAAGTTTAAACTTGTATGGTTCCTTAACCTTTGGATTTTTATACGTAAGTACTCTCTTAAAATGAATTAGTCAAAAATGACTAATTTAATAGTTATTGGTGGCTGCTTTTTCACTTGTACCATGGTTAACCATGGAATACCATGGTATCCCAAAATTTAACATCAAATTCCCATGTAAAACTGTCCCCTGAATCCGAAAATACCGTCAAAAATTATAAAAGTGGAGTAGTTTTTGAGATACAGTCAATTCCATATTAAATGAAAAATTGACTATATCTCAAAAACTGTTCTACTTTTTTAACTTTTGACGATATTTTTGAATTCAGGGGACAATTTTACATAAGAATTGGCTGTTACATTTTCGGATACCATGGTATTTCATGGTTAACCATGGTACAAGTGAAAAAGCAGCCACTTATAACTATTAAATTAGGCATTTTTGACTAATTCATTTTTAGAGAGTAGGTTACTAAACAAACAAAAACTTATTCAACCTATTTTATTTTTTAGTCAACTTCTGCTATGGGCATATGCATTTTTTACACGGACATTTTTTTCGACGCTTTCAAACAAATCAGAAAAAAGAATCGTTCCATTGATCATATGGATTTAAAATCTCAAGCAAAAATAAGATGGATCATTAAGTCATCCATTCGTTTGTGCTACCTTGTAGTAATAGCAGCTATAGCTGAAAGCATTTTATTTCAGCCTTTTAACAAGGACATCATGAAGTTACACTATTTCGTGGTTTGGAGCAAAAATAACTTGGGATGGCTTTACAATTATGCAATATTTGGTTATTTTAGTTCGTTTATTGTGTGCTTTTATGCTTCAATGACTGAATTGTTTCCTGTTATTTATTTAATAGTTCATATTAGTATTCAAATCATGAATTTGAATAATTATATAAAAAACATTTCAAATGATTATGACGATAATGATTTGGATCTTTATAATGATGTGAAGTATCAAGATAATATTAAGAAGAGATTGATATTTTGTATAAAGTTTCATCAAGAAATTAACGGGTATGTTGGAGGATTGTATAGGATATAAAAAGTCTATATTATTATATTTAAGAATTATAAGAAATGTCTATAATATTACATATTTTCCATCAATTATACAATATATTGGGGGAACTATTGCTGGTGCAAGTGTTATGTTCTATGCATATACGGTAAGTTATGTTCAAAAACCTCCAGAAAATTTTACATCAAACGCAAAGGCTTAGATTATTTATAATAGTTTTTGTGTTGCTTTTAAAGTAAAGATGCAAAAGATGTAAAGATGTAAAGATGTTTTTAACGAAATGAGCAAAACCTTAGTCAAGCCATGTGCTGTTTATTCCGACCTACCAATATCAATAAAAATTCATTTCAACGATTTTTTTTACTTCATTTACGAGGTCTTGATTTAATGACCATCTAAAATTGTATTCGTATAGCCCGGGTTTTGGGCAATATTTTAAGCACTTCAAAAAAACACAATTTTTGTAAAAACACAACATTTAATACATGGTTTTCGCAAACTATTTGACAGATCCTAATGATATTTTTCCACTTGTTTTAAATTATTATTTTCCGGTACTTTTGGGCCAGAAAGTAAATAAATAATTATTTAATAATTTGAATACCTAAAAACATAATTTTAGGAAATGACGACAGAGGCATATGGCAGAATTGCAGGAATTACCTGTATGGGAGCTGCATTATTAGGAGTTGCATCACTATATGGACAATATTATAAAGATATGGTAAATATTTAACTATAGTATACTATTAAATCAAAATGACATTATGTTGCAAATTTTTTTTAGACTGGTTCACTATTTGATACTGCAACTGATGTCCCTTGGCATTTATGGAATATCGAAAACAAAAAACTTTATTTAATTTTCTTAAGTAACTGCAAGGTTCACTGCTTGGGGATGTCAACTGTAACCATGGATTATATGTTAACAATTAAAGTAAGATAAACAATAATAACAATAAACATAAAATAAATGGAATATTATTGTAGGTTTTAAAAAGTTTGTATTCCATGCATACAATGATAAGAGGAGCTTTAAAACACCAAAGTCACAGTACGTGAGTCAAATATAATAACATAAAAAAATGAAAATTTATATATTTCAATAATTGTCAGATAAAGTCAACTTATTTGGAAAAATAAAATAGTTGTAAAGCATTCCATATCTTTGCATTTTTTAAACAAATTATGGAGATGGACAATAATATATACAGATTGTTATTAAATTATTGTCAAATATAAAAATGGGTAGGTCGTTAGGGTCCAAAAGTACGCCACTGATTCACCAGGAACCGCGGATTAATCTATTAGTCTATGAGTAGTGTCGAAATGGAAGGCATTTCAGTCTTTGCAATATTGGTTGCCTACTACTGGCGTACAGTCTGCAATATATATATTTATATATTCTTATTAAAATTACAAGTTTTATTCTTACCATAACAATATTATGCTAATAATAAATTTGAATTCATTCAAAATAAGTTAAGTCTTTATAAATTTGAATTAAAACTAATTTTTATCCACCAATATAAGAAGATTGTTTCTATAAACATAAAATTTTACCAAATCAGTATAAATAAAACTATTTTTTATCCACCAATATCAGTAGATTGTTTCTGTAAACATAATATTTTACCAAATCAGTCTACTTAACCTTGATATCCTACTACTATTAAATTTGTATTTAAGCATGCGATCTATCATTGCAAAGTAAACTTTATTCTCAACTAGAACAACAAAATGATTAAATTTTTATTAAGTAGTTTTATATGTGTAAACTTAGTATCTTCGGCAAAAATTTTGGGATACTTCCCAATTCCTTCAATTAGCCATCAATGTGTTTTTCAACCGATATGGAAAGAATTGTCTTTAAGGGGTCACGAAGTGACAGTTATAACTCCCGACCCCTTAAAAGATCCAAACCTAGTGAATTTAACCGAAATAGATGTAAGTTTTACTTATAAGGACATCAAAGAATATGTTCAAACGAATATATTACATAAATCTACAATTGATTCCCTAACTGGGCTTTATGATATGATGAGGAATATTGAAGAGGATATTCTGAAGCACGAGAAAGTTCAACAGTTACTTAATGACGATGATAAACATTTTGATTTAGTTATTATGGAGCTTTTTACGACCATTGGTTTTGGGTTTGGGTCAAAATATAAAGCACCTGTCGTAGGTAAGTTTTAACATGCATTTTTAATTTATTTTTTGTAACATAATTTTATTATTTTAGGAGTAACATCTTTAAATGGTTACATACAGATCCATGAGTCTTTAGGTAACCCTATTCATCCAGCTTTATATGCGGAATGTTTTTCAACTCTTGGAGGAGATATGACTTTCTTTGAACGCCTTCAAAATACAGCATTTTTCGTTTGGTTCAAAATATACCATCATTATTACAATAATCCAAGGCATGATGCTATAGCAAGGAAGTACTTTGGAGAAGACATGCCTTATATAGGCGATTTGGAAAAAAATATTTCTTTTGCTTTGATAAATACTAACGCTGTTATGGATTATGTTAAGGCTAATGTTCCCGCTGTTATTGAAATTGGACAAATGCATATTAAGCCACCAAAGCCCCTACCCAAAGTAAGTAAACAAATTTATTTAGTTAATTTACTTCAAAACAATGTAGGATTTATTATAATCCACTCATATAAATATTTGCAATATATTTTTAGGATATTGGGGATTATTTAGACAATTCCAAAAGAGAAGTAATTTACTTTAGTCTAGGTTCAAATGTAAAAAGTTCCACTGCACCAGAAAACTTTTTGGATACTGTTAAAGTAGCTATAACAGAACTCCCGTACAATTTTATATGGAAATGGGAGGATGATCATATGCCCAATAAACCGGATAACGTTTTTTTGAAAAAATGGCTCCCACAACAGGATATATTAAGTAATTAAAGAAATGTTTATTAAATAAATCTATTTTAATTGTTTTAAGGACATCCAAAAATAAAAGGGTTCATCACCCAAGGAGGAATACAGTCAATGGAAGAAGCTGTAACCAATGGGGTACCACTGGTAGTTTTTCCCTTTTTTGGAGATCAGCCGTATAATGCTAGAAGAATGGTTTACATGGGAATTGGTTCAAAATTAGACTACACATCTTTTACCAAAGAAGATTTCAAAAATGCAGTTAACGAAATAGTTAAAAATCCTATGTAAATATTTTTCCCTAATATAATTTATTATTTAATACCTTTATGTTGATGTTTCAGGTACAAACACAATGTAAAAAAATATCAAAGTCTCATTAAGGACCAGCCCATGACTGGTTTAGAAAAAGCAGTTTGGTGGATCGAATTCACTATAAGACATAAGGGAGATTTTAATTTAAAAAGTAATCTTGCTTATTTGCCATATTATAAATACTTTATGTTGGATATAATTTTGTTTGTATTAATTTTGGTTGTGATTTTATCAGTGGTGATTGCAAAACTTTTTAAATTATTTTTTTATAATTATAAAAGTAAGAAAGAAAAATCCAGTTAAAATCTGATATATGATTTAAACTACGTACATATTTTGGATTGTACATTAATTAGTTTTTAATATTTATTATATTATGCCTTATAGACTCATGTATGTATAAATTACTGTGAAATATAAATTATCAATTTCTTGGTTTATTTTAAAATGTGCTAAGCTTATATTGAAATTGATTGTAATTTTCTTAATTAGGTAAATTTTTAAAATAGTATTTTGACGATGCTTAGTCTTATCACATACGCACGAAATAACCTATACTTGAACTTGTAATACATGATATAATTGAAATTACTAATTTGTCTTTTGTTTGTTTTTATACAACTTATTTTATAAATATGATTCTTTTCCGTCTCTTTTATTTCGTTAGTTTTACAGCAATTTTGGTAGACATCTACACAAGATTGATATCCGAGGTCCAGGTCAAATTTTTATTGAAGATAACCTTGTATAATGGGAAGGTAGTTTAGGAAGAGTATTTTGAAAGTCAATGGCTGATTAAGTTTTTTGTGATAAAATAATATTATTTTACTTCCTAATCTATTTCCAACATTATTTTTTTCTACAGCACTGCCTTTAACTGCTGGGAGATCTTTGAGATTTCTTTTTATTTTGTGAATTGTGTTGCCAACTGACACCATGTTTTTTACATAGACATTTTCACTTTCCTTTCTTGACTTTTCTTTCTCCATAAATATTTGATTTTTGTTTTCTTACAGTCTAGAAGGTAAAAAACTTTACCCGATTGATATAAATTATTTTTACAGCCTAGGAGGTTTTTGGATTGAAGACAAACATATGTTTAATTTTAAAAAAAGGCAAATATATTTTTTTTAATTAAAAAATTCCTAAACGTTTTTTCAATGTATAAATGAATTCAAAGGTTTAAGTAAATAATTCAAAAAGTTCATAATGGTATTTTATTTTTATTTTGCTTTCAAATATTTAGCTACATACATCATAAATAAATAGAATATCACAAAAAAAGTTTCAAAAAAGTACCAATAACCCAAATGTAGAAAATTTAATAACGAACATATAGTACCTATACATGAATCATTATTATATTATAAAAGATGTCTAAAAGGTACCATTTTACTAATATGATATTAGTTTTATTATTATTACTTTACTAATTATTTCCTGGAACTAATAATTTGTTCTGTACAATACAACATTGGCTATTTAATTTATTTGCTAATACATGTGGGACCTACATTGTAAGTACTTAATAATTGTTTATACTTTATTGAATTTTAAATTCAATAATTGATGTATACTTATAGGTAATTTTAATCAGTCCTTAATGTAGACTTACAGGTAATAAATGAAAATTATATCACAAAAATCTATTTTCAATTAAGAGTTTTTCTAAAATATAGTACAGTGGCGGAGAGAGCCAAGAGAACCAAGTACATAAAGCTCCTTCGTCGCTCGTTTTATAAATTGACCTCGTACGACAAAATGACGTCTTATGACATTAGTTCTTTAATATACTATTATTTACTTTTAAATCCAAAGGTCCTTGGATCATCCTCAGGCCAGGATGAAAAAATAAACGAACTGAAGTCGGGGTTTCAAACAAAAACAAATATTGTACACTGTTTAAAATATCTGTGGTGTAAAGAGTAATCTTAAAATGGTGTCAAAATCCAACACCAAGTGGTGTTAATATAAACACCATGAATTATGGTTGAAAATGTTATATACAGCAAACACCAAAACGGTGTTTATCTAAAAATATTTGAGAAGTGCACCTACACAGAAAAAAAGGAATAGTTTAACTATATTAATTTAGTTGACCCATAAGTATTTATTTAAATCAACTGTGGGAAGGTTAATATAAGTTTGACTGTACTAAACCAGATAGTTATTTTTTTTTAATTGGTTAAATCAACCCAGAAAACTTTAGTGAAACCAACCCGCTGTATGGTTCAGTTTACTAAATATGTTATTTGTAAAATAGGAGTTACTTCGACCTAAAGCACTCTGTTAAAACGATTAAAACAATTTGTCGTGCATTCCTGGTTGCATAGTATGTACCGATCGCGGCAAAGGCGGTGTGGATCACGTGATGTTCTTAAATCTCGCCCTTGTTGACTTACATGAAGAGTATATAAGCTCAGGTAGTCCTTTGCTTTGGTGTGACACTACAAGTTGTTGGATACTAAAGAGATCTTAAATAGGTGGAAACAGCTGTCAATACTTGAAGTATTTTAAGTTGGTGGAACGCACTAAAAACATTATCCTTAGCGAAAAAGAGTTCAATTTACACCAGGTAAAATTTATTTTAATACTGTGTGAAAGTTAAATTAACACCATTTTAGTATTTGAATTTACACTGGACCAACGAACCATATTTAACACCTTTTTGGTTTGTATCGATATAGACCATGTATAGTGTTAATTTGGTGTTAAAATGGTCATGAAATTTTGAACAGTGTATGACCCATAATTATCAGAATCAAATTAGGATTACCAATTAATAATAAATAAATAAATGTCGTATTGGCCATTTTATCTTACTTACCTTGAACAAAGAAATAAACTTTATTGTTTTTTTTATTTAAAGTCATTACAAAGTGTATACAAAGTGTACTATAGTATACTATAGTAATCGACAGGTTCTGACAGTTTTTGGTTGTTTTTAAGAAACAAACGTAGGTATTTTTATTTAATTTAAAACTATCTAGTCTTGTGACCGCCACTGACAAATGTACACTATATAAATAAATAAAGAATGTATTTTCTACTGCTATTACAGTAAACGTAGGTGTGGATAATACCAACACAGAAAACATATAAATACCAATAAAATCTAAACCGCGTTTAGTTTTTTTCAAATTTCAAACATAAAACGTTAGGTATTTTAAATATAAATACCTATTTTATTCCTATAAATATTTTTAAAATTTTCTGAAAACATTAATTTTCCGGTTAATTGTTTTCATAACACCAATCATATAATTACTTTTAATTGTCTATAATTATCATAATTATAGTCATGATATTATAGAATTTTACACCTTAACTATTAGTTTACTTTTCCAAACCCTAGGAAATCATGGGAGTTAAAGAGGTAAAAAATTTAAAAGCAAAAAAGTATAGCTTGGTGCAAAAGTTTCTTTTTGATTTTAAATGGAATTCATTATTATCTATTTTTTACATTTGCCTAGAAAATTATATTGAACATGTTTTATTTCCACTGGGTAGGTACTTTTTTTATAAAACCTTAAGGTTTTATATATTTACCATTACATGCATTTTTTGAACTGGTAGTACCTCAGTGATCTCGGCAATCTTCTGATGCTTTCAATACTTTGCTCGAAGAAATTTCTTTTGATGTTGAATCATCAATACCAGTGATTATGTAACAGATGAGCAACTTAAAAATTGTGAAATTAAGAAAGAAATTATTAAACGGTGAAGAGGAAGACGACAACGAAAACAGTGCAGATGAGGAAATCTATAAACGTTTTTGTACCAGATCCTTGTGAAGAAATTAGACACCACCATTTAATCATACTTTTGGGTTTTGGAATTGATATTTTTTCATTTTTATTACCTTTTAATTAATTCCATAGTAAACATAAAAACTTTCAATTAAGTAGATCCTGCAGACTTTTATTCACTCTATAAACTATATAAACTACCCAATTCTGAACTTAATTTTAAGATCAGTACTGAGACCTATAAAAAAATTGCTGTATTTTAAACTATTGGGACAGCTTTACTACATAATTCAAGCTAGCTTTTACTTCAATGTAAAAAACTATTAATTCCAAAATGGCTTATTTCTATTTAAAATCATTAAGATACTTTTAAGTCATCTTCTAAATAAACATTTCGTTATTTTCAGGAAAACGAAGATAACTTATCAACTTTAACAATCTTCAAATATTCAATGATAGTGGCTGGAGCTTGGCCGGCCCATTTAATAAAATCCAAAATACAGCGTGTCCTCTACAAAATACTTTCTTTTATAAACACGTGGTTTTTTATGTTTTTTATGGTTACGATGTACGGGGAAATACCGGTTGCTCTAAAAGAAGGCAACATTCTGGAAAACGCAAGTCTCAGTATTATTTACACCATGAGCTTGTTCAAAGTTTATATCTTCAAATCGAATAAAATGAGAAAAATGTTGTATGTCATCTTGGACTCGGAAATAGCCATGAGGAATTCCAGTGATGCTGGCATGAGAAGTGTGTTTCACAGATATGTGAATAAAAGAAATTTTATTTCGAAAATATTCTTGTATCTTTGTACAAGCGTTTGCACCTCTTTTGTGATAACAAACTACATTGAATTGGTTATGAATTGGGATGGTGATAAAGAGTTCGATGGTCATTTGGTAAAAAGAAAACTACCATACGTATCGTATTTCCCGTTGGATAGACATAACTATTATGCTATAGGTTTTGTGTTTCACAGTATCATAGCTATTCAGGCTGGCTTCTTCTATTTGGTAGCGCAATTATTTGTTTTGACTTTCGAGATTCATATTTGCACCAGGTTGGTGTATTTACAACACATTTTAAGAAATTTTGGTACCTATGCCAAAGAAATGAGAGATAAATATAAAAGTGAGGAAGATGCTCTTAGAGGAACTCTGTATTTGTGTGTTGTTGAACATCAAAATATCATTAGGTATATACAGTATTTCAAAATTACTATACTATAATAAGTATAATAATAATAGTTATTTATGTCATAAGGCTAAGAAGTGAATCTTTTTGTGCTGAAGTATATAGCAATAATAAATGTGAAAATTATTTTATTATTCCAATACAAAAATACAAAAGTATTAAACAGTTTCTCGACACCAGCGTTTGAAAAGTGGAATGCCGATAAAACATTCTCTTTACTTTCACTTTGAAAAACTACTTTTATATCGGATTTAAACTGTCAAGGAATAAATTTTGATGAACACATACAAATTTAACATTTTGACTGGCAAAACAAAGCTAAACAAATAAGTGTCAAAACAATTGTTTATTTTTTTATAAACAATGAAGCTTTTTAGCATTGCCTTTTTAAAAAAAACTTTGCAATGCGTTCAAAGTGAAAAATCAATAATTAATTTTACCACAATTATTTATTTTTTTCGTTTAAAAAATACTTTAAGAGTGAAAAGGGAAAAAAATAAAATATTGTAGAAAAATGTATTGTTGATTTAGAAAAAAATCATTGACTTTGAACAAAGCATTGCAGAGTAACTTTTTTTTAAAAAAGCACTGTTAAAAAGTTTGATTGTTTTTAAAAAATAAACAAAAGGATATTTTTAAAAATTTATGTAAAGTTATGTCATCTATAGGGACTTTGTTTTGAAAAAAAATGTTATAAAATTCCGACCCTTGGGAATTCAGGGTCCACTTCAGGAAGCCTTACCAAATTTAAAAATTATTGTACGCTTGAAAAAAAATTATTATAGCATATAATTATAGTCAATAATAACAATAGATGGCAACTTTTTTTATTATTATTATTAAATAGAAAAATGTTGCTATCTATTGCTATATAGGAAGTTTAAATTTGTTGTCGATTTAAAATTAATTTTAATTCTACAAAAAAAGTCAAATTTTTGAATGGTATGTTGCAGTTTTTTAACAGAATTAAATAATTCTTTAAAAATGCTTATGCTGGTCGACTTTACAACATCATCATTTCAACTAGCATCTTTATTAGTATCAATAATAATGGTAAGAACAATTTTATAACAAAAGTTTAAATTAAAGAATTATTATTAAATGCAATTAAATTAAATTTTTAATCAATATCAAAATGCACAAAGTACCTACATAAGATTTAGATTAAGTTAATAAAAATATTAATTTTATGTTATTAAACTTTAAAATATTATATTAATAATTCTTTATTCTTAATTTCTATACAAATAATATTTTTGTTTAATTAAATATTCTTTCAATACTTAGAACGATAAAAAAGCTTTATTATATTTTGGAGCAGTATGTTTAACAATGATGGTTTTTCAAGTGATAGCTCTATACTACTACGCAAACGAAATAAAAATACAGGTACACGTTAAAAAATTAAATATAAAAATAATTACAAAATGAGTTTTTTAGAGTTTAGCAATAGCCCTGGCAGCATATGACAGTGATTGGTTTAAATATAGCAAAACTTTGGCAGATAATTTGCGTTTTATAATAATAAGATCCCAAAAACCACTCGCTTTAAATATTGGTCCTTTTGGGGAAGTCTCTCTGGAAAAAGCTGTTGCCGTAAGTACATTAAAAACATTTTATATTAATATTAAAATTAATTTAATTTTAGTTATTAAAAACAGCTTATAGTTTCACTGCGTTTATGTATAGTAGAGACTCTTAAACCTAAAAGGGTATCTAATGCATAAATAAATCTATATTTAATCACATAACATTATTAACCTTTAAAGGCTTTAATTACTGCAAGCTATATGTAGTAGGTAAATAAATACACAATGCAAAAAAACCCTTCTTTCATTTAATCCTTTTTTAATGAAAACAATTCGTACAAAATATTTACTTTATTTCAACCAAATGAAATGGAAAGATGATACAAAAACGATTTGTATAAATTATGAATTTACATCTATAGAGTCCATGCCTTAAACTAATAATAAATAGAGTTAAATAATCTATGATCCAACAATAATGTTATTGATTGGTATGTGGATAAGTTTGACAAAGAAACCAATGAAGCCCATAATACAGAAACCGATGGCAGTGGCAACAGCAATTTTTTGGAATTCTGAAAAAAAAATTATTAATATAATTTTGCAAAATATGAAACAATATTTATCTAAATATTAAGTATAAAATTCAAAAGTTTCACCCTTTAATTCAACATTTAAGTAATTTAAAATTATATAAGTTTCACATTTTGATTAGGTATTACAATATAATTTAATATCATAAATAAATTATATAGTCACTAGAAAGTTATAATCCCTTGTTTATCTTCTATATGTTTTTTATTTCTTGTTAGACAGTTGTTTAGTTTTTGTTGTTGCAAATTATGTATATGGCTAGATGGTTATAATATGAAGATTGTTATACACTTAAAAAATGTTTATTTACTACTAAACTTATAAGTTATGTTAAAAAAAGGTAGAATTACAACTGTGGATAAAAGGCATAAGAAGTTATGGCTTTTGCCAGCACATGTCATATTCTAGCATGCAAAAGCCTATACCTGCTAACCATTAATATATTTCCTGAATTAATTCGAATACGTTTAAGGCTATACTAAAAAAATGCTTTTTTGACTTACCCCCTTATGCCTTTTACCCACAGAATTAGGTAATTGGCTTAGGATTAAAAATAAAATTTAAAAATACTTTTACAATTAATATCACAAAAAGGGGTGTAAATATGTTCCTTTTAAAACAAGATTTACAATTATTTCAGTAGACCCTAATAACCCTAATAGCAATACATTTGTATATTTTTTGCTAATATATTATAATATAATATACCTAATATGAATGACTTGGCAATAGATGCAAAAAATAAAAATAATTAAAAACATCATATGAAATCCCTGGATGAAAACATGCCAAATATTAACAATAATACCCAATTTAATACAAAATTAGATACCTAAGTATGTCTAAAACAATTTTTTAAGATGTACAGTTATGACTTAACACGTTGGGGATTGCTAGCATATGCCGCAAATTTTAAAGGTAAAATGAATAAAACACCAGCAAAAACTTGAAACAAAAAACACATATTTACCTCTCCTGTCTGGTTTAGTGCATCTTTTAACTAATCTAATGGAATCTTTGGCGAATTGACGGCCTGGTTCAACAAATTTCACGACTTGATCCATTTTTCTAAAAACAAATTAAAATTAACCTCAACTCAAAGCAAAACTCGATTCAAATACCGTTAAGGCAACTTAAAATCACTTGGTTTAACACAGGTTTTAAATAAGAAATTAGTACTTACGTTCTTTGATTTTAAACTACGAATGTTTAAGAAATCTGACACAACGTTGACGTTCTTCTACGAAGGAGCTCCACAATTTTGACAAGTCGCCAGCCACGATTACACGAAAGCAATGACGTGTCGAAAGGCTGCGTTCCGAATTACGGCTGCGTTCAGAAAATTTCATATTTTTAACAGCATGTATTTTATAACTTTTATCGTTTTATTTATTACAATATAAAATAAAACAACATGATTGGTATTATATAAAACCATAAAATTGTTTTATTTATACGTTACTAGATGTAATCTCGGTTGCCTATACGTCTACCGTCAAAATTCTGTTTTTCTATTCTTTAATTAAACCTTTCTAAAAAACCTTAAAAGTTACATTTGGAAGAGTTAGTTTCAAAAATAAACAGTTTAATTATATTAAAATAATTATTAATACTTTAATTTAAAAACATTTGTTTGCGTCTCACCCCTGTAAAATCTCTATTTATTGTGCGATTTTAACCGGACAATGGGTACCACTGTATAAGAAGAAAATATATATTATCTTTATATAAATTGGTCATTATCTACATATGTAGATACCTACAATTTTCATTAAGCTTAATCATTAATGATAATTATTTTAATGATGCCAAACAATCTCATGACCAGCGCCGTAGTCAGGGGGGACGAAAAGAAAGCCGCCCCAAAATTTACTACCCCTGGGGTAGTAGGTACCCCACTAAAAACTGTCTGTATTTTTATTCATATTTGTTGTTTTTTTTAACCTACCTACCTACTTTTTTTCTGAAAATAGTATTTTCAAAATACTGAAAGATTATTTTATGTAAAGGGAGATTAAAATTATTATTTATTAATAGTATCAAACAAATAAAATGATAATTGACCAACAAAACTAATTATTTCAAAAGTTGCATATACCTAGTAAATATCTAAAGTAAATAAATTTGTTTTGAATTACCTAAACATTTGCAATTGGTTTTATCTTCAAAACAAAGTTCTTTTATATTCTTTGTTTACGATAAGTACCCGTAAGTATTTATATTTTTTGCTTAATAATTGGCTACTACCCATTAAAATGCCTTATCAACTTCTTCAAATTTACCTACAAGGTTTTCAAAAGTTGCGCATTATTGAATTACAGTAAAACTTAAATATATTTGCATCCAGTGAATTTTATCAAAGCATTTTGCGCACAAGTTATCTAACTAACATTGAAATACAGTCAACACATTGAAGCCATAGTTTACAACATCCTCGCTAAACTCAATAATTAAATTATATATAATTATTTTAATTAAGTTCCGGTGAAATTACCAATATTTAACAATACACACAATTTATTTCCTTTAATTTATTTAATGTACATTTTATTTAAATCAAACATACCTTACCGTAAAGGCCAAGTTTAGTTAACCTAAATTACATAATCCCTACATAAAAGGCATACAATTCGTAAAACCATACAAAGTATTGTAAAATTTAATTTTAAATATTATATTTGGCCTGTAAAAACTGTATCTAAATCTTGTAATTATTAAAGAATATAATATATTCAATATATTGTTTTTAGGGTTATTTGTAAATTATATTAATAAATTATTTTATTAGATTGTAGAAATATTAAATTAAATGTTAAAGTTGTATTAAAAAAAGTTAATTTAATTTAATTTAATTAAATCTTTTCAAAATATTTTAATTGTATTAATACCTAAACATATAATCAATTCTAATTAAATCGATTTGTATTTTGTTCAAATAAAATAATTATTACAGCCAACTTCGCTTTCGTGGTTCCAAGAAAAATCATTATTTCAACATTAAATTAATCCACAAACCAAATTTTATTTAGATCGGTTTTTCCATTATAGAGTTAAAATACCTATCCCACAGGTAGGTACTGTGTATTTTTCTGGGATGAAAAGTATTTTATATGTTATTTCAGGACCTAGTAAATCTCTATACCAAATTTCATTAAAATCCGAAGTTAGACACGAGCGAAGCTAGAAAAGTTTATAAACGATTTGCATACTATACTTTATCTACGACGAATATTATTATAAAAATAATTTTATATTAAATAATTTAAAACTTTGTATAAATCGACAAATCTAAATTTAACGTTTAAAATATATACATTTTTAAATATAAGGTAGGTTGGCAAGAAAGAAAATATTGATAAAATGTCAGTAAAAGAAACAATGAATAATTTTACCAATAAAAAAATAATAAAAATAATATGTTTATTGTGTATACAAAAATTGATTTAAAATTTGTCAAAATACAAATATAAAAGTTTCATGTATTCATTTTATTTGTCATCGCATTACAAGACAAAGAGAAACAATTTTCATGACCTATAGTTCAAAGTATACCTTTACGAGGGTCACCAATACAAACAATCAAAATTTCAACCAAAAAATCCGCTAATAATCACCAATTAAAAATGTCATAAATAAATTGACCCCGTATATTAATTCAACAACGAAGCAAGGCAAAAACAACCACAGTGTGCGCTGGACAGCGCATTCTCGATATCGCATGGCTGTTTATTTGACTCATGTAGATAATGAAAATAAATACATGTAAATAGTATATTAGATTTCTTCAATCATCATTCACTAACAGCCAGTCGAACGAAGATTACTGACGTGAAATACAAAAATGATCTTCAAAAATTCACTTATCCTTTTATTGTGCCTTTTTGGTGCTGTGTATGGAAAGTTTATACAATGCGGTAAGTAATACTTTATTTAACAATTATTTTTTAAATACACATATAATATTTAAATTATTACATGTATGTAACACACCTGTTTAACTATCACTTTTACTGCAACGCAAAAATTAATAAATCGTGCATTTTATTTAAAAAATTTAATAATTATTATTATTAATAACAATTAATTAACAACTATTATTTCGTCACATGATTCTCTTTGTTTTATTTTTTTATAAAACACAATAAAATGTCCTTCAAATGCTTAATAAAGAATCTCCTTTTTAAGTTAAACTTCTAACTAAGTAGATAAAATATTAATAGAAGCTGTATTAAAACCAATTTTTCACTTCCGTAAGGAAATGATGATGTTAAATATTAATTTTAATTAGTAAAACCACTATAATTAGTTTTTGTTTCCATACACAATATTTTATCAACAATGTGGAAAACAATTTTATATTACGAAAGTTAAAAATTTACAAACGAAGTATTTTCAAAAATAAAAATAACGAATATAACCAAATTCATTGACAGTTATAATATTATACAATTATTTTTAAAAATCGCACCTCTGGTATGTAGTTTATCTAGATTTTTAAAAAATTTAAATATTTTTAAAAATATTGAAGATAAACTAGAAACCAGGTTTTTTATACAAGACACGGATTTTTTCGTAATTCTTGACACACCTGTCAGTAAGGAGCGTAATTATGTTATATTAAAACAATTTTGTATAAATAGGTTGAGTTTTCAATAAAATATTTGTGGAATATTATGAGGTAATGTGAAATACGTTTTTAATTATTTTTATTACCATGCTCACGAATTTTGATCCACTGCAAAAACAGAGATTTTCAAATTTGTATAAATGTTATGTCTTTATTACGGAGTAAGTTTGACAGTAATTAATAAACTTTTATTGTTATTAAGTTATTATTAACGTAAAGTTTATCTGTTTTGTTAATGCAAACCCCCAAATGTTGGGTAATAAAAAGTAATGGTGTTTTTACTATACAATTAAATTTTTTTCTTGACGTAAAGATTTGGTCCAGTTTATGAATTATATCGCTGACCTTGTCAATTGGCGATAAAGTAAATAAAATTACGCAAAGATCAATAATTATAATTATTTTGATTAATAATTTATAGATAAAAAAAATATAATAACGTTTAGTAGACAATATACAGTGTCCGAAAATACCCTTAATTAATATATTTTGGGGGATGATTCTAGACGTAAAAATTTGTCATAAACATATGTCCAAAAATGACTCCTCTCGTAACATCCCTTAAAAATATATTTTTCGATTTTTTTTTGGGATAATCTTACAAGATTCGATTTAGTTCGCCACTCGATATGTAATGTACTACTATTCCAAAAGTAACATTTAAAAAAATTGACCTAAATTTAAGTTTTTTAATATCTTTAGTACAGGATGGCCCAAAACGAAATTTTTTAATACATGTGTATTTTTATTTTTTAGAAGAGGAAGAAGGAAAATCTCGTATTGGTGAAGTTATTGACGTAGAGGTTTCCGGATGTCAAAATACTAAATACTGTCCACTTATAAGAGGACGAAATGCCACAATAACAATAACATTTAAAGCAAGTAAGTAATTTTTTATTTTTTAAAACATATATTTAAGCAGTTTCTATGATATGCATGCATATCATAGAAACTAACCGCCCTCGGTGGTGTAGTAGTTAGCACTGCGGACTACAAGCCGAGAGGTCGTGGGTTCGAATCCCACCAGGGGTATGGTTGTTTATTTGTGTTTGTCATTGTGTATTTCTGTAATTGGGCCTGGTGCCTGTTGAAAGCACATTAAAAAATAATAATAATAAAAAATAATAATAATAATAATAATAATAATAACATGCATGTAATTTCTATTGCTCTTTCAAATAATTTATAACACTCGTGTAAAATAATATTTTTTTATTTTCACGTCGCCCCAAATTGGAAAATTAATGACCACACCATTTTTTTGTTTTTATAACAATTGCACAAAAAAATACAAAATACTTTTGTGTTTATAATTATAATTGTAAAGGTATAAATCAAAATGATAAAATATAAATAGGTAATATTTCGTTTCCTTTTATTATAAAAAAAAACCTTTAAACATTAGCTGTTAAATTATATTTATTAATTTTATGAACTTCGCTCAGATTTGTATCTTATTTTTGCATGTTATAATAATAAAAATGTACATTTATTATTAGTGGAATAGTATTAAAATATATTATTAAATTACTATTATAATTAAGGCAATTTACGTTAAATTTAACGACCATTTGTAAAAATGTTAATAGTTATTAATGATGTTTATAATTAATAATATAATAATAATTGTTCTACTCAATCTTTTAAGCTAAAATTTTTCACACACATGTGCTGGAGACAATACAATTATGTAATTATATATATTAATATATATGGAGGGCATCAAAAATACAGGAAAATTCTTTAAATTTTTACTAAATGTGTGTTACCAAAGTTAATTTTACCATTTCAATTTATTTTAGACGAAGACAGTGATGAATTGAAGTCTGTAGTCCATGGTGAAGTATTAAGTGTACTAGTTCCATTTTCCCTACCCAACGGAAATGGATGTTCGGAGTCTGGAGTAACATGTCCAGTTAAAAGTGGACAAACTTACAAATACTCCACATCATTGCCGGTCTTATCTGAATACCCAAAGGTAAAGTTATCAGTTTTATATAAATCGTTATCTCCTTCAAATGTTAAATAAGAAAAATGTTTAATATATCAATTGATATAAGAAGATAGTTTTTTTCTTTGGGCAATTTTCTCATTTATCATTAAATATTTTAAATAAATTTTAGCGGTATACAAAACATGTACAACTTTTTTTTATTTTCAGATGAAGTTAAGGGTCAAGTGGCAGCTACAAAATAAAGAGAGTAGTGATTTTGTTTGCGTCTTCATCTTTGCACAAATTAAAGACGCTTAAGGAAGCATTGTTATTTTATTGAAATAAAAAGCAGACTTAAGATGTTGTTGTAATTTATTTCCAATCAATTTCTAAGGCACAAATATAAAGTATATAAAGAGTCTTCTTTGATTTGCCAGTACATAGTAAAAATAAAATAATAATAGAAACGCTGAAAAAATTGCAAATAATACATATTACAATAAAAGTCTGTTAAATCAAAAAATCTTTATACTAACGGACCTTCGTAGAAAAATTTTTTGATTGGGCGTTCATCGAAAAAATTAAAGTTTTATACAAAAATAGAAAGATTTGTAAAAAATGTGATGGCACAACGTGTTTTTTAAGTGGACAAAGTAAAGAAAAAGTATACAAGTTTAACTTATCGTCATATCACAATTTCATTTTTTTAGTTAAGTATTCAAGTTGGTTATTTTGTTAAAGCAAAATTAAATAATTTATGTTAAAATGTAGGCACATAAATTAAATAATTTTTCGCTTTAAGTTGGTTCTCTATTCTAGTTTAAAGCAAGACACATATGCCATTTTAGATCTAAAAAGGCACAGTAGCACCGTAACTAATAGATAATTTTGTTTTTATCATTCTTACAGCACAAAAGCCAATAATAAATAAATATTAAATTAATTTATATCATATTTTATTTTTTATTAGGTAATTTCTACATAGCCAATATTAATCAAAATATCAACTACAAAAATCAGGGAAAACGAAATATTTTTTGTCTTTTTATGTATTTTTTTGTTTTTTACTTTTATGATATAAATAAATTTTTAAAAATTTGCGAAATAAAAATCTTAAAGCCAATTATTTTCAATAATTGCCTAAGTAGGTATAAAAAATGAAATGGGTTAAAAATAATACAAAAAAGTGATAAAACAAGATCCAATAGGACTTAATCTAAATAGGTATACAGGTGGTAAAAGGAAAGGTACAAAAACAAGATTTTAAAAACTAAACTAATAATTAAATAGAAAAATATGCAGTTTTAAACAAGTATTAAATACAAAAAATTTAATAGTTTAAAACTATATTAAACAACTATTTCTATAACTTGGAATGCCACATGGTACACCAATGCCAAAGGCTTTATCACGATCAGGGGGATAATATACAGCGCGGTCAAAAATAACATCATTAGAAAAATATGTATCGAGAGCAAAGACTTTTGCACCCGGGTGATTTTTAGTCAACATATACGTATACATCTTAAAAACTTTAACATTGGTAATTTTCAGATCTGGTAACAAATAAACGAGGTGATTAAGTAAAAAATATATATGGGGTATTCCATGCCACTTTCGATCTGGCCAAAAGTTTTCCATTCTTTTCTACCCTTTGAAAAACATATTTGAAAATTTTTTCAAATTTTTTATCCAACCCCAAAAGTTTTAAATTTTTCAAAAAAATATTTTTTTTATTTTCAAATAGCCATAATTTTTTCAAAAATTGACATTTTGGTTTTTTTTTTTAATTTTTGTTTTTCGAAAAAATTGAACATGATCAACGTTTTTTTTAATAAAATCGTTATTTTTGCGAAGTTCGCCATTTTTATTTTTTGGTCTCAAAAAAAACTTCCCAATTATTCCCGCCAATCCCAGAGTGGGCCAATATTTTTTCTATTTTTTTTTATTTAATTGAAAAAAAATTTCAAAATTGAAATTTTTGTTTTTTTTACAAACTTTATTTATATAATAAAATAAATGTAATTCAACGATTTTAAGGTATTATATTCTCAATTTATAGGCTTAAGCTACGATTATACTGACTAGGATTAATGATTATTACATTTAAAAAAAATTACATTTTTGAAAATTAGACATTTTTTTTTTAATTAAATAAAAATACTTTGGGATTAAAAACATTAGTTTTTTTGAGAAAAAAAAAATAATAAAAAATGGCAAACTTCGCAAAAATAACGATTTTATTAAAAAAAGCGATAATTTCATAGAGTGGATCATGTTATATTTTTTTTGTGTATTTTTTCGAAAAATTCATTTAAAACAAAAATTTCAAAAAAAAATATACCAAAAGGTCAATTTTTGAAAAAGTTATGGCTATTTGCAAATAAAAAACCTATTTTTTTGAAAAATTTAAAACTTTTTTGGGGTTGGATAAAAAAATTTGAAAAAATTCAAAAGTGGTCGATTTGGCATGGAATACCCCATATGTATAGGGTTTTATAAATAGAGCGCAATCCAGTGGTAAACATCGAAATAGGGAAACTAAAAAATGGAAAAAAATAACTTTAAATATGTTAGGTCTTATGTTTTTAGAGGTGTTTGTGTATGCAAGTATTTTTTACCTATAATTTTGACAAAAATTAGATAGGTATCCTTTAATTTAATAAAATTATATTCCATTAATGACAACTTATTTAAAAACTAAGAAGGTTTGGCAGAATAAATATGTGTTTTTGAAATGTGAATAGCTTCTTAAAGTTTCATTATTATCCACTCCAAGTTTATATCCTGTTGAAACCAAATTTGCTTTCATTTCATTTTAAAAACCTTTATTTATTCTACTAAGCCCGAAAAAAGTTTGTCATTAATAACTAAAGGTACTAAAAAACAAGAAAATAATCAATAAACTGTTTTGATAAAATAAGAAAAGGTTTCCTTTGTTGCAACTCCAGATCAAATAATATTTTTGCCATTTTCTTTAAACATGTTACATGATATGCAATAAATCAAAATACTGTCTTGATGGACGTTTTAAAATCTTAGATTTCTTACCTGCCTCAAAAACATAAAACTCGAAACAATCATAGTTAAAGGTACAAGTAGACGGTACAAATACACAGTGGATTGCGAAATTCAGGCCATACAACCATTGTCAAGCCCCGAAGTACCATAACCCTGCCCACTTGCGTAGTTATGACACTGATTGAAGGAATAATCATCAAGATCAGTGAAGTGACTCTCAAAGTTATCCGAAATTTCCTCCACGATTATGCTGGGGGTTTTCTGGTAGGTGGTCAAAGTGTTCCTCTGGTAGTTATTCATGTTATTGTCAGGTCTACAGTTGTTATAGTAATTCGGGTGATAGGAGGAGTCACCAGACGCAGGTCTGCTGTACGAGTGGTTCTCCATAACGGAAGAAACCGGCGGCAACTTGTACAAGGAATCCCTCGTCGCAGGAGGTATGTTGTGGTGGCAATGCGGCCTGTGCCTGTCGAGGACGCCGAGGAGGTGATTTTTTTGCTTGTGCAGGTCCGCCAGCTGCGATTTGAAGTCGACGTTCTGACTTTCCAGCGTTTCCGCTTCCGTCATCAGCAGCGCGGTGCGTTCGCGTTTTTTGAGCCGGCATTTGGTCGCCGCGATTTTGTTTCGCTCGCGCCTGCGCCGTCTGCGTTCTTCGTCTTCGGGGGTCAACTAAAACAAAAGAAAGTGTTCAAAGATTGGAAGGAATATAAACAAAAAAGATTAAAAGGGGCATTTTTAGTCTAGAGTGCTTAAAATGTTTTTTTTTTGTTTAAATGTATAAATGTGTTACATTTTAATATAAACAGGGTGTCCCAAAAGTCAACGATATCATTTGATGGACTAATAGGTCAGCTCATGGTTAATCAGAATATCAAAACATGACCTTAGTAAAAAATCATTAGTTTTTAAGATATTGGCATTTTTATGAATTTTGTGAAACTTGACACATAAAATCAGTTTTTCGAGTGCCACAACTACAACATTCTATATTCTTAGATTATATTTTATTTTGCGTAACCCTGAATAGGACTGCTATTAATTACAATTCAAAATTAAATTAATAGTAGATTTTGTAGCTTTGGCACTCGAAAAACTGATCTAAGGTGTCAAGTTTTACAAAATTAATAAAAATGACTATATCTCAAAAACTAACGATTTTTTCATATTTTGATTTTCTGCTTGGTCATGAGTTGGTCTATCAGTCCTCCAAAGGATATCGTTGACTTTTGGGACACCCTGTATAGGTACATTACACTGGGCCAAAAAAATAAACTATTTTTTTTGAAAATTATATCGAAAATATGTTTTGGGGTGACAAAAAAAATTATTGTGAAAGTTTGAGTCCATAATATTAATATTAAGAGGTCTATCATCGCAATTTTAAATTTTTTTTCCTCAGCAAGTTTTTGTCTCATAACTCCCAAACTATTGAGTTTAACAAAATTGACTCGGCAATATTTTTTTAAGAAAATTAAATGCTCTATAAAAAAGGTTAAAATGAAATTTTCCGTCAGATGAACCGTTTTCTTAAAATCATGCCTTAAAAATTGTTATAGTTTTACATTTTGATCTTTTAACTTTGGAATTTTGCAATTCATAAAAATCAGTACCCAAATAAAATATTCTTATGGGAAATCAAACGCTTTACAAAAAAAGCCTCTTAACATTTTTGGCTAAATTCACTCAATCAAAAGTTATTCAAGGTTAAAGTTGAAATTCTTGTTTTTTCCTCTGTAGATTTATTTTTTTATGGGTGATAATTTGATTTTTTTCTTTATAAATGTGTATTATATAACTAATTAACAATTTCCAATAAAAAAAAACAACATTATTATTATTATTTAAACGATTAAATAGGTGACAGTGAAAATAATATTTTTTAAAGAAAATAGCTTCTTAAAGCGAAAAAACTCCAATGTGTTATTTTTTTTTTAATTTTCAGTAATGATATCAATAACGATTATCATCGATAAAAGAATTCAAGTTTTTAACTGACCCAAAAAAAAATCTAGGGCGGAAAAAACAAGAATTTTGTTTTGACTTCAAATTTAGTCTTGAATAACTGTGAATTTAGCCAAAAATGTCTTTTTGTAGAGCATTTGATTTCTCATAAGAATATCTATCGGTTTTTTTTCCGGGTACTGATTTTTACATGAATTACAAAATTCCAAAGTTAAAAGATCAAATTGTAAAACTATACCAATTTTTAAGGCATGATTGTAAGAAAACGGTTCATCTGACGGGAAATTCCAATCAAACCTTTTTTGTAGAACATTCAATTTTCTTCAAAAAATATTCTTAAGTCGATTTTGTTAAACTCAATGGTTTGGAAGTTCTGAGACAAAAACTCGCTCAGGAAAAAAGTCCTCAAAATAGTATTTTGTTGTATGTACATAAGCTAATAATAGATAAAGTATAAAGTATAAAGTGCTCTTTTAGTTCCACCCTTACATCCAAACTAAGATGTCCCATAAGCCAACTGAATGGCTTGTGCGGGTTAGGGGTAGGAACGGACCGACGGCTTAAAGTCCCCTCCGAAGGACTATAGATAATACAGACGATATAAATATATAGCACATGTATTAATATAAATGTATTAATATAAACAAAACTGCATTTTAGTATGTTTAAAATTTAATTCTTGGCCTTGATTGTACGAATTTTTTTAAATCTATATAAAAAACCAACACAAAGTTTGAAGGTAATCTTCACATCTACACATTTTAGCTTTATTTTAGGCAAATGTCAAATTTTCAATAGAAAAAATTCTGGTAACAATCTAAAGGGGCTAAGTCTGCTGAATGGAGCGTGCATGTGGTAGAATTCGTATAAAAAATCATTCCTAGCTTCTGAGATCCTGTAGAGTTTGACCAGAATGTTGTTTTTAATAACTGCTTTAACTTTTTTTTGGCTTGTCATAGCCCTGTTTATCTTTGAGGTTTAAATTTCCTGCTTAAAACCACTGAAATCCTTATGCTTTTTGTACGTTTTGTAAATTTTTAATAAATGAGTGTACCAATCAGTAGTTTATAACGAATTGCATGCCATGCCTTATCTATTACGAATGCAAAGTAATGTTTTTTCAGAATTTAAAGTTAATTTTATTTGACATTTTATACATATCCTGATAATGCATTAATTAAGTAACTTTTAAATGTCAAAATTTGCTCTTCACTTTTTTATATTTTTTTGTGCAGTTATGTTGTGTAGCCTGGAAAGATGCCACTTTACCATCTGGGTCTATTTCCAGGTTAAACAACATAACAGCACAAAAAAACTAAAAATGTGAAGAGCAAATTTTGACATTTAATAGTAAATTATGTATCAATCAATTTTACTTATTTTTAACTTAAAAATGATAAAAATTAAAAATATCAAAGTGAAACTAAGAATTGAGTCGTATAGATTCAAAACCCGCCAAATCCATTTATTGAAAGTAAAGGACAGAAGACATGTTTCCATAACAACATAATTAATATGTATTGCAAACATATCTACTGTCCTTTACTTTCAATAAATGGATTTGGCGGGTTTTGAATCTATACACATCTATACAATTATTGTTTGATATTCTTAAATCAAAGTGATATTTTTAATTCCAGTTTGGACACCCCTGGGATGTTGACGGTTCAATTTTGCGGCACTGTTTGTTTATAATATAATATCATTTTTATTAATAATAGGCAAAATAATTATCATTAATTATATTACTATTTTTAATATTTGACAAATAATTCCACACTATTTTTGAGTTCAAAGTTAGTTGAATTATAAAATATTCCTGATTAAAAAATACAACGGTGTTACATACTGAACCAAATAAAAACTGTTCATATTATTGCATTTTTAATTCCAATATAGGTAGGTACATAGGTATTTATTTATTAATATTAGTCGTTTAAACTTACACAATCTACATCATATTGATACCAAATTCCATTTTCATTTTGCATCTGAAATTTAAGTAAAAAAATATTATAACATGTTTACTTGTACAATTTATGTCTTCAAAAATAAGAACAGTTTCTATCTTCACGAATGTTATACGTGTGGAAAATATTAAAAAAATATTGAAATAATCGTATTGTCTTTTAACAAACAATCAAGATTCGCGGTGAATTTTAAATAGGTCCGGCCTTCATATTTTTGCGGGCAAAAGGCAAATAAAATGGTTCTACCCACAAAAACCAAAAGGAATTTTAAAAATTTGTATGTTGGAAATTCGTGCTGAATTTAATTTTTTGTTTATTAGTCTTGCAACTTTCTACTAAAGCTGTTTTATATGTTAATAATATTTTATTGGCATAATTGGCAATATTACAGAGTATTTTGACTGTCTAACCTTAAATTAAGAACAGTTAGAAAAATAATAATTATTTGCGAAACCTGTTTCCAATGGGTTAATGCAAGCCATTTGAATAAATTATGTTTATTACATTCATATTTAAATAAAAAGAAAAAAATGACTATTTTACCTTATTTTCTAATATATATATTAGTTTTACAAAAAAAATTTTTGGACCACCCTAAAATATAATCATGATTTTAAAAACATTATGCAAAACTTTCTTTGGTCCACACATCCGTTGTATCGAACTAAAAATAAATTTCGGTGTGTTAACTCGTATTAAGTAAAAACAATAAAATAAATCACTTTCGGTTGATTTGAACGGTGTCCAACATAGTAACTCAATATATTTTGGTGTCCCCTGCCAAAATATAAAACAAGATAAAGTTAATGCAATTCATTTTTTATTATTTTGGCAGAAGTCCCCTCGCGTTATCAAACGCGTTTTATTTTTATTTTGTCGATTTTTTCGTACAATGTATTTTATGTAACCGAATAGAAAATGGGTCATGGAAAAGCGCGGGACATAATTTAATTCAAGATTTATTGCTTCGATTCGATTCATTCATTGTTAACATTTAAACCATAAAAATTTCGTAATGCCGCCATAAAGGGAGGAGATAATGCGGTTTTTGTGTACCTTTTATAATTTAATCGTGATTAATTTAAAAGTTTAATTGCGACAGGATGTTCTTTTTGTTTTTGTGCATTTTTATGGTCCATAAACACACATGGCTATTTTTATTATTAAATATAAACCTATTTAAAGTTTCTGGTTCAAAATAATTTAGGCTAGTTTATCGATTCAGTTGGAAATATTAAATATAGCAGTTTTATAGACTAATTAAATAATTCATTGTTTTCGATTTAATAGAACACCAAAAAGCATTTAAACTCAAAAGAGTAGATAATCATAACAAAAATTAGGCTGTTAAAATTTCATTAATTCATATAAAAGAAGCAGCAAGGCCAAAATAATAAAGGCGTTTAATAAATTTTATTAGAATTTGCTATAGAGAAACTTAATAAGAGCAAATAAAGTGCACGGTGGTCTGTTTTCTTTCCAATTAAAGTCTCTTACACGGAAAAAAAAATGTTGTGGAAAGTACTACAATTGTAGAATTTTCTGGTATAAATTGTTTAAAAAATACGACCAAGAACAATTTGTTGGAAATAATTTAACAATTTTGTAATAGAAATAAACAACAATTTATTGAAGATATAATTATATATTGTAGTTAAATTACTACAATTTCTGTTTTAAATTAATATTGTTTTATATTTTAATAAAAATTGTATTGACTAATGCCATTCTTTATTAAAAATAATACAGATTTGCTGTGCTCCAAAATTGTGTACTTTAAATAAATTATACGTTGATATAAATGCTTTAAGTTTTAGTTAATTTCAAAACAATTGTATTAAATAATTAAACATTTTTTTACAATATAGTTGTAGTAAAATTTAATTTAGTTTTTTTTCCGTGTACACTCACAGGCAAAATAATCGATCCACACAAATTTTCGTTTTCTATTTGATGTCGGATTTAAACGAATATTAAAGAATATTGTAGATAAATTAATGGACAATCGCTTAAATTTTAAAAAATTACTAAAAAATAGACGTACGTTTATAATATACAGGATTAAAAAAAAGATGTTTTTTACCATAAGTTTAAGACACTTTGTAGAGTGGCAAAACCGTATATTGTTCCAAATTAAGTTTTATTTATCAAGTCACATCTATTCTTAACAGTTTTGTTTTTGGTTCACCTCGATATATTTATTTTTGTGGAAAATATGGATTTAAAAAAAAAACATTACAATTTCCAATATTTTTCTGTATGAAGAACTAAGGTTGCTATGGTCCATCCATAGGCTATGGAGAATGACGGTGACAGTTTTGTTGAATCATCCCATACTTGGACATGTCATACAGGGCTTTCAAAAGCTATCAAATTGTTTTTTGCAAATTAATGTTTAAATTCTTCTTACTTTAAAAAATGAATATGTCTCCGACTGATGTTGCCAGAGCCATTAATTTAATCCAGGATGGACGGTCACAGTATTACGTGGTAAGGGTTTTAATCGTCACAAGAAGTAAATTACAAAGGGCAATTTCAGTCGAAGACATTTTTAAAAGTAAGAAGACACCTCAAAATTAACACATTATAATGTACAAAAAACAATTTCATAGCTTTTGAAAGCTGTATATGACATGTCCAAGTATGGGATGATTCAACAAAACTGTCACTATCTTCCTCCATAGGCTATGGATGGACCATAGCAACCTTAGTTCTTCACACAGGAAAAATATTGGAAATTGCAATGTTTTTTTTTTAAATCTATATTTTCCACAAAAATAAATATATCGAGGTGAACCAAAAACAAAACTATTAAGAATAGATGTGACTTGATAAAGAAAACTTAATTTAGAGCAATAAACGGTTTTGCCACTCTACAGAGTATGAAACTTATGGTAAAAAAACATATTTTTATTTAAACCTGTATATTATAAACGTACGTCTATTTTTTAGTATTTTTTTAAAATGTGAGCGATTGTCCATTAATGTATCTACAATATTCTTTAATATTTGTTTAAATCCGACATCAAATAAAAAAGTTATTTGCGATTGAAATTCAAATTTGTGTGGATCGATTATTTTGCACGTGAGTGTATTTGAACAGTGTTCATTTTACTTACGCCATGCTCATGCTTGAACTTGTCATCGTCGGACTCGCTTTCGGTCCTCTTGATCCTCTTGATCTTGTCCATGTCCAAAAGGTCTTCGCCGTCGCTGCTCTGGTGTTTTCGTTTTTGTTCGATCGAAAGTTTGAGTCCGGCTTTGATGAGTTGCGAACAGGTGTGCTGGACGCTGGGCGGATTGTTCGTGGTCGGCGATTCGACTTGGCTCGAGTGTGAGCTGTTCGAGTCCGAACTAAGGTTCGTTAGCGGGCCGCTAGGCACTCGGTTATTGGGCGATTGGTTCGCAGAGCAACCAAAAGCTGTGTCTAAAAATAAAAAACACGAAATAATATTAAATGTTTCCAAAGTCACCAACGCAATATATTGAACAAGTTATCTAGAATGTGAAAAAATTATATCGTCAGTTTGAAACTGGCGAGTCAAAATTACTGGACATCATTATGTAACCATGGGAGAAATGGTTTACCGTGCGTTGCAAATTGTTAACAAAATACATTTAAAATGAAAAGTTATTAACCTATTTTGCCCTGGGTTTTCTCAGGAAATTTGTTAAAAGAATTGACATGGAATCTTTTAAACAATGTTTTAAACATTCCACCGCCATATCCGCAAACCTAATTTTAAAAAAGTTATAGGCTATTTGTCAAATTTTAACGAAAAAAAATTAATTACATTAGGTATATGACATGATATAGTAATTTTAATTATAATTTTATTCATAATTTAAAAATGTAAAAATATATAGGGTATTTACAAAATCATTTTAACTGAATTATCAAAACAAATACACAAGATATGAACAATTCTTAAATTTTGAAATATTCTATTCTTCAAGAAAAAGTAAGAATTCATATACGAGGTGTGCTCAGAAAATATCGGGAATTTTCGTTTTTTGAAACAAATATTTATTTATTCGTCTACATTAATGTTGTCGCCTTCAAAATAGTCCCCATTGAATATTATGCACATGTGCCAGCTCTTCTTCCAATACTCGAAACACTTCTAAAACTCGATCTTTGGGATAGCCTTTAGTTCTTTCAGCGATGCGCTTTTCATGTCATCTATGCTTGAAAAACGACGGCCCTTTAAGGTTGTCTTTATTTTTGGGAATAGGAAAAAGTCAGACAGAGGCATGTCTGGCGAATATGGAGGCTGGGGCATCATTACAGTATTGTTTTTGGCCAAAAATTATGTTCAAAATTTAACAATTTTAGAAAAAATTTTGCTGCCACGCGTTTCATACCCAAAACATTCGACAAAATTTCATGGGATGAGCCAATCGATATACTAACACTTCTCTGATGGTTTATAACCATTTCTTCCACTTTTTCCATGTTTTTATCGGTTGTTAATGTGCTTGTGCGTTCGGGGCGTTCGTCATATTCAACGTCTTCACGGCCATCTTGGAAATTCTTGTAAATTCTTGTAAATTCTTGTTTTACATATAGCAGACTCACTATAGGCCTTTGTTAGCATTTCACAGAATTTATTTCATTTTTTAAGCAAAATTGGATACAAATTCTTTGATCCATTTCTTTTAACGAACGAAAAATCGCCGAGCTCATAAAACACGTCTAACCTTAGCGGCTGCCACAGACAAAGTAAACAATGAAAACAGCTAAAGTTTTTATCATACTTCGGGGGCATGTATACCAACATAATAAAGAAAATTTTATGACAACCGGACCCTCCGAACCCGCGAAATTTAACAATTCCCGTTATTTTCTGAACACACCTCGTATCTATTCATTGGTGTTGATAATTCAGTTTATAAGATAACAATATAAGCAATTTTTCAATTTCATAAAAAAAATTTAAATTGCCCATTGGCAAAAGCTATTGAAAATCCTGGACTTGCTACAGGGTACTGTAGTACCCTCGGAAAAAGAAGTAGATTCAGCTGGTTAAATCTTTATACAGCAGAAGAAGAAGATGATTTCTGGATTTTTGTAGCTAATTAATTTCAATATTTTTTGAACATATGTTAACGGGTAGCCTCCTTAACTTTTTCTGAAATAATGAAAAAAGACAAATTTCTTCTTTTCAACCAACATTTTTTTTTTGATATAAAATGTTCACCTGGAAATATTTTGACCACATAATACTTCTACTTCAACTTCTACTAATTAAAAGAAGTAATTAGTAAACAATTGTGTTAAACCGTTGAGGAGGTGGTTAAACTAATTAAATTTTATGTGTAAAATATAAAACTTACCTAGTGGGTTTGTCATGGCAACTATGGAATTCAAAATCTCTGGGGTTCTGGGTGTGGTACACGTGGACTCCACCAGGAGGTTGCTGGCTGCCGCCGCGGCGGTTTGAGCCAAGTTTATGTTTAAATTATACATAATATCACTTTTTTAATTTATCAAAAAAATTAAAATTAAATCACAATAAGAGAAACGTGTACGGTTCTGCGACCGTAAAGCGTATAAAACTAGAAATAAATTAATAAAAAAATGTCAATCTAACACTCAGTTCTTGAATTCGGCTCCGGGGGTAAGAGAGCTGGAAACACTCTGTATAAGGATCAACTTTTTCGCCAGTGGTCCTTTTTACTTTGTTTGTCAGGTGATGTCAATCTGAAAAAAATAACAGAAAATTAAAAATAATAGATTAAACATAATTTAAATCAACTTTAGATATAGATTTAATGTAAATGTAAAATCTTAGGTAGGACTTCACATCCTTTAAGAAAAGGATGGTGCACGTTTCCTATGTCTATTAATACTTTTAAAAACATAAATAAGTAACCATTTATTTTAATTTATGTACAATAATTAACAGTATACATTGAAAGAAGACTTGGAAAATGGTATATGGGCAATAAAAATTAAAATAAATTTCCATATTCTTATTTATTTAATAGTAAATAAACTGGCTTGAAGCCAGTAAACAATTTTATCTATCGAAAAGTGACGTATTATGCAATATTTTATAATTAAATTAGGAGACCTATAAAAACGCCATGTGTGGTCCATTTTAATTTGAGTGCAATTTTATTTCGACCATCCCAAAATATCGCGTGAAATGTGTAATTATAAATTTGTTACTCTTTTAATTTTTCACGTAAATTTTAATCAAATAGGTTAATGGTAAAGGTTGCGCTTAATAATTATATGCTAAATTAAATTTAATAAAAAATATTAGGGCTTGCCTTACGATATTTGCATATGAAATTAAAGCTGTATAATAAATTTAATTAATAGATAAATAAAAAAGTATTCGCTATAAATATCAATGAATGCACTATGATCATAATATCTACTATACCGGTGAAAGTTTACACAAAAAATATTTCTGAAACTCTTAATTTTATTAATAATTATAATTTCTATTTTTAAACTATTTTTGCATATTATTTATTATAAAGGAAGCGCTTTTTGTTATTAAAAATGCTCACATTTAAATTTTTTTACCTTGAGTTAACAGTTAATAAAATTTCAAATCATTTCTAATAATTTTTAATTTACTGTAAAAAAATTAATGGCTGTAAAATTTGTATTAAAAACAAATTGATGGCTATAAAGTTTTGGTTAAAAATAATGTTTCTGTAATTATATTATCATACGGCAATTTTTCTTTTCCATAAAAATTAAAATGTCGTGTGGCCAAATAATATATATATATATATATATATATATATATAATACTGTCGCTGTACTTGTTGCCTATATAAGGCGCTGGGCAGAATGTTTCGACTGTGCTTACACACCACGGCTATCCGGCACTGATGGGGTCCAATAAGACCGGTGCCTGTTTGTCTAGCACACTAAAAAAATATTTGGCCAGTTCTCACTACTCCTTAAGCAGAAAACCATGTTTTGAGACTGCATAGTTTTGATACTGAAGATAATTAAAAATAGTAAAATTTAAGGTTGCTGCTTACAATAATTATTAGTTTACATAATAAATTTATTTTGTAGGCCATGCATTTTTCTCGCTATAAAAATGGCCATTTCAATATTATGATCTATTTTACTGTTAACTGGCTCAAACTTCCATTATATATATTAAAAATGATTTATGGTTATGGTTCGTCAGTCTTAAAATATTACAAATCCAACAAATTATTTTTGTGTCGAGCTCTATTTTGTAATATGTTATGGTAATTAACTAAATTGGGCACCTAGTTAAAAAAATTTTAATGGGCGAAACCAATAATTAAAAGGTTTTGAAAAGTTTAATTTTAAATACCAAAGTGTAAAAACAATTATTTACACTTACGCCCTAAACAAACATAAGTAATTAAAAAAACTCGTTAAAAAAAATAATTAACTATTTTTTAAAGCCGTGGATCACGAAATTGTAATAAACCATTAGTTTATGACATTGTTGAATTTATTGAACGTTTAAAAAGTTACTATAGTTGCTATAGAAATTTTGGTAAATTAATTAATTACCTTGATTGAAGTTCTATGGGTAATAAATATCTTTCATAACCTCCAAATGTGTGAATCTTCCTTAAATATAACGAAATATTTGTATTTTGAAATTTATAATTTTTATACACGCATATGTAATTATGCTCAAGAATTTATGGATAATAAATTATTTTTGATCGTTACATTCTACGAATTCACTTTTTATGTAACATACATAAATTATGTTTGATGACAAAGTATTTTCATAAGGAAATAGAACGTTTTTTTTCTTATATATATACTCTATAAAATGAATTAGTCAAAAATGACTAATTTAATAGTTTTTAGCGGCTGCTTTTTCACTTGTACCATGGTTACCCATGGAATACCAAGGTATTCCAAAATTTAACAGCCAATTCTTATGTAAAATTGTCCCCTGAATCCGAAAATACCGGCAAAAATTATGAAAGTGGAGCAGTTTTTGAGATATAGTCAATTCCATATTAAATGGAAAATTGACTATACCTCAAAAACTGTTCCACTTTTTTAACTTTTGACATTTTTGGATTCAGGGGACAATTTTACATAAGAATTAGCTGTTAAATTTTGGGATACCATGGTATCCCATGGTTAAAAGTGAAAAAGGAGCCACTAATAACTATTAAATTAGTCATTTTTATTATTATTATTATTTATTCATTTTTAGAGAGTAGAGGGTGCACACCATTTAAAATTTCCTGAAAAATTGTTAGTCCGCAAAAAAAAAGTTTTTCCCAGATTTTTACTTTATTATTATAAAACTTAATTTAAAAAGTTTGGTAAAATATCGAGGTTTTCAATATTTTTTTTGCCTACTTTCTGGGAAAATGTCAAAACACAAGGACTGTTTTTTCTTGAAACTTTTTTCTTTACAATGTTGCGTGCCTCATGCGAATCTATTTTATTTGGCAATTAATTTTAGCATAATGCCTGACAAATGAATTAATTTAAAACGGTCAGATAGAACCATTCGGTTTGAAATTAATTACCACGTCCGGTCAAATTTGCATTTAAAAACATTTTCAGCTGAACTAATTTTGTTTAGTTACTTTTAGAATCTATATGGGATAGTTACAAAAAAGTAAAGTACCTATTAATAAAAAAAATATTAATTTGTTTTTGCAAATTTTAATTCATAAACGAATTTGTGAGTAGGTTTATTTTAAATAAACTTTTTTGAAATTAAATATGCAATACCTAAGTGTTTTAAATATTCAAAATAACTGTTTAACAGACACTGGACAAATAAAGAAAAGTTTTGTGCCGATGAACCGCACTTTTATGCGATAAAAAATGTTTTTTATTAATTTCTACAAAAACATTATATATTTATAGTATACGAGTATAGTATACCTAATATTATATTATGTAAGTAGTTTATAAATATTATTTAATGAAATGTTTTTTATATAATTTTAAACTTTCCGTGTTAAAGGAAAATTAGAGGAATATTATAAATAAAAATTGTAAACGTAAACGAATATATTTCACACTCAAGTGCTACTTAAAGCACAACTGAATTCATTGTTAACATTATATTTCCTACCATTGTTTATTTAAAAATTTACCCAATCTAAAATAATATATATGTACAAACGTTTTTAATCCAATATAATTTAGTGAACAAACATTAGCTTAATAAATTTTGGAGGATACGTTAATTTAATTTTAACTGCATATAGATCCGCCCCAAAATTGGGAATTTACTGCATTGAGGCTCATTTAGGGCTACCGTAATACAAAACAGGTAGATCTAAAACTTTATACATCCAGTTTTTTGGGATTCACTGAAATGTGCACTGGAGCAATATTGTCCTAAGTAAAATTTTCAAAAATAATTATTATTGAAAATTTGATTTAGGACAATACATTGATAATTTAATCAACCAAAAATTGACTAAAAAAAATTTTGTTTGTTTTGAAATAAAGGAAAACATAATTTTGAGATTGTTCCAGTCTGGAAGGTACCACTTAAGTGGTATTTAAGATAAATTGTTATTTTTGGCTTATAAATTCGCCAAAATATCTGCACAACTTTAAAACAAACACAGTAGATTAAAGTATTTATGTTTTTATTTAACATACACCCACTTAAAGATTTATTATATTAAATCCTTCAAATTCCAATCAATATATTTATAAAAACGCCTATTGTTCTTGTAAAATAATTGTTAATTATTCAAGGATCTAAACAGTTTTTTTTCGAGTACTTTCAGCAAACAAATCTGTCATGTTTCATCATTTTATTTATTTATTATTTATTTACTATTTACATTATTCTCCATCTAAAACACAATGGATCGCGGTTCAAATATGGGCAAGTCTCATCACGTGTGCCTAGGAATTAGTTCAAGGTCGCACATTTAGGGCTCGTTTGCCTTTTGTTTGTGGATAGGGTAACGCGATTACGATGATATTTGTTTGTTTTACGATTAATTAGCTAAATTAGTACTCAAAATTAACACGCAGAGTAAAATTAATTTTAAATTGTTAAATTAAATTATTCTTGTAAAAAAACTGCAATTTTAATTTGTCTTGACTTTTGACAATAATTAAGTAATTGGTGGGATTTCTTGGTAAAAATAATTTGATAACCACAGGATGTTCAAACTTGATAAAACATTTTTTTAAATTTTATCGTCTATTTTAACCAAGATTTTATTGTTAAATGTAACATGTTATGTTAATAAAGCGGTTTTATTTGGTAATTGAATTTCAAAAAATGTTACATCCTGTAAAGTATTTAAATAAATTTGCTCTTGCATATATCAGGCCCGTAGTAAATTAATTTTATATTCCTATAAAATTTGTTTCAAAAAAATGTTTAAGCAATGTGTTTAATGAATGCAATAAAGCTTTCAAGATAATACTAAACCTAACGTTACCAAAATGACGGTTAAAAACATTTTTTATCAGAAAAAATGCAATTTGTTGCCAAACTTTTAGCATAATAGGTGGTTAACGCTTATCATATAGAAACCAAGCGCCAAAAACTTTTGTTGGGCTTATTTGTAGAATATTTTTTTTTTAAATAATGCTCAAAAGGTTATTTTCTTAAAAGGATTGAGAGGGTTCCCAAATCATAATTAATTTTTTTTATAGGTAGGTACCTATAGGTACCTACCTATATAGATATATGTAGGTACTTATATTTACTGTTAAAATTATATGAGTAAAAA